CAGACGGGACGCCCCATGAGTGCGAGAGAGACAGCGACGAAAACGACTCTCGGACTCAGCCTGCTGCTCGCCGAGGCCGGCGCGCCGGTCGCCGCACCGACGCACCGCGCGGCGGCGGTCCTGCAGGACTTTGGAGCCGGCGGCTTGGACGGCCACGCCGGGGCCGGGATGGCGAGATGGCGAGATGAGCACTTGCCGATAAAAATAACGCGAACGGCGACCAATGGCGTGCCGGGGCGTCATTGCCGCTTTCGTGCTTTCTCAGAAGACGCGGAACCAACCGCCTCGCGGTGCTAGCTGCCCGGCGCGTCTTCCTGCTGCTCGCCATGCTCGTCCGCGTTGCCGAGAGCGTCCACCGAGAGCCGTCGCTCTGGCTCTCTCGCACCTGACGGGGCGCCTCATGAGTACGAGAGAGGCAGAGAGAGACTCTCGGAATGAGTCCGCAGCGCGTCCATCGGGCGGCACTAGGCGGGGCGGGGGCGGCACGGTGCGCTCCGTACCAACGAGAGCGAGGAGAGTAGCACGAGCAGCACGCCCGGGCGGAGAGCACGCCGCCTTCGGCCTGCCTCGGCCTCGCCTCGCCTTTCCAATGCGCTCCCGAACTGAGCCTTATCATCCGCGCCCCGTGGCCGCGTGGCCGCCGTGCGCAGCGTGCCCGAGAAGGGCGGCCGGACGGAGAAGAGAAACCAGCAAAAGGATGGCGCAGTTCGCTCTGTCTCTCTCGCACTCCTGCGGGACGCCCCGTGAGTGCGACGGAGACAGAGACAGGCGGCTGCAGTAGCAAGCAGTAGCGCACGTGTTCGTTCGGACTGACCACTGCGAGACGCGGCGAGACGACTCGCGGATCGCGGCGCGCTCTCTCTCTCTCTCTCTCTCTCTTTTCCCCCTCCTCTCCTCCTCTCTCTCCCCTCTCTTCTCTCTCTCTCGCACTCCTCCGGAAGACGCCTTGAATGCGAGGGAGACAGAGCGATGCGGCTCAAAATCATCCTGCAGGCAGCCTCGCTGGAGTGGAGCAGCTCGCTGGAGCCCAATGGCTCAATCTCGCAGCCTTCCAGCATGCTTCCAGCCGGCCTGCCAAGGGCCCCTCAGGCTGCCTCAGGCCCCCGGGATATAAGTGTAATTCGTCTGTTTTACGAGAGAGAGACTAGCACTGCAGCCACTACAGCGGCGGCCCCGCGCCGCGCAGCGCCCCGCCGGGCTGGAGGGCGGTCGTTTGTCACCGGCAAATGGTGGTTCATCAGCTGCGCGTCCTTCTCGTCCTCACGCTGTCCGAGAGCACGAAAGCACCGAAAGCCCGCTTTCCTTCTCGGCTTTCAGTTGGGAGCGCCTCCGGGCGACGCATTGGCGGTACACTGCGAGGCGAGGCGGGGCGTGGCGTGGCGTGGGAGAGAAACGAAACACACCCGGAGGCACTGCAAGCACTGCAAGCGCACTGCCTTCTGCTCGTGTCCCTGTTTCCCTGAACACGCCGATCCCAAAAAGTCGTTTCGTCACTCTGTCTCTCTCGCACCCATGGGGCGTCCCGTGGGGGTGCGAGAGAGACAGAGCGACTTAGCACGCCGCTGTTTCTCGCGGGATATTGCAGCTTGCAGCTCGCGGTCCGCGTTTGACGGCTGCCTCGCTGGCGGAGCCGCGGAGCTCCGACTGCACCGCGCGTCCAGCCGCGGCGGCCAGGGTGACGTCATCCGCCTCACTGGCAGTGCTGGCAGTCGTGGATGCAAATACGCCAACGCCTTTTCGCAGATGGCACAGAAGTACGAAGGTGTCGTAAGAAGCGTCGCCAGCGGGAAACAAGAGGCAGTCTTGAAAAATGTTCACCAGCTGCCGCGTTTGCGACAGCGCGGCTGTTTCCAATCATCAGAGATTTTGCATTTATGTACTTTAGGTGTCAGTCTGGTCTTGAAGTAGCTTGCGCCACAAACGATACTCTACTTTTCGGGTCCAAACTCCGACTCAGAGGTGAGAAAAGTGACCCGAAACGGACCCGAACAGACCCGCTGCTGAGGAGACCCGATCCGATCCGACCCGCCTGGATCCGATCCGCACCGCAGCGGCCTGACCCGCTCATCCGCCGCCGCTCCGTAGGCGCCGCTGCGCTAGCCGGCCGGGCGGTGGAACGACACCAGCCAGAGCCATGCCGTTTTGGCGGCTTTCTAACTGCCAAACTGCCGTAAACGCGGTAGTGATGTCATCCTGAGACCATTATCTGTCTTTGCGTACACTTAGTTTGCATTTTGGTGCCGAATAAAATATTACCGCCGGCTGGTGTTGAACCTCTCTCTTTTCGGGCGCATTGAAGTCAGCCCGCCAGGCCGCCCGGGCTCGGCGACGCAGCGGCGGCTGCGTGCGGAAAGTGTTCGCACGAGGAGACAGCCCGACTGGCGGATGGAGGCGGGTCAAAGCGGGTCTCTTTTCTCACCTCTGCTCCGACTGAGTGGTCATCTGCCCTGCATTTCAACACATGGCGCCATAGGAAAGTCATACGGTACAGTGCTTCCCGAGCATGTTTCATTGAGCAGAGAACACGCTGGCCAGTTCGGCGCCGCCCGCGGTACAGCGCTGGCAGCCAGGACGCCGACACGTCACTGGTTCCGCGTTGTTTACGGCCGGTCCCTTGAGAGGCCTGGGCTGGCCTGGGCTGGCCTGGGCGTGTGCTATTGTTCCGTTCCGCCCCAGCGATCGCATCGGACGAACCGCGGCCCGCCATGGCCCGCCACGCGGGGACGGCCGGGCCGGGCGGCATCGACACGGACACCACCACGCCCTCCGCGCACCTGTGAGCGCGCTCCGCTGCCAACGTTCGGGTCGTCGGCGCGGTGGTCACGTCACAGCCCCGCCGACCTCATGGGCCTCATGGCCCTGATGCCGCGCCAGGGCGTGGTGCCGGGTGTCCGCAGCGGCGGCTCGTAGACGCGGCCCTGCGGCGGGCCGCGCGGCACGGGCTCCACGCCGTTCCAGGTAGGCGCCACGCAGCGCAGGTAGTCGCGGAGTTCGGCGTGCAGCTCGGCGTTCTCGTGCCTCAGCCGCGCCACGCTGTCCTGCAGTTGGCGGCGGCTCACCTCCGCGGCGCCCGCCCGCGACCAGAAGGACACCAGGTCCTCCAGTGTGCGCACGGCCTGCGCGACCAGGACCAGGGTTTCGCTCAGGGGGAAACCTTCCGTTTGCGCCACGCTTCGTTCTGGTTCTCACCTCCTCCATCTGGTCGGCTTCCTCTTCCAGCAGCTTGACGGCGTCCTCGGGGGACGGCCTCCCCGCCGGACGGTCGGCTGGTTTCCCAACCTCGCCGTCATCGCCGCCGTCGCCGCCGTCGGCGTCCCCGACCTGCGCCGCCAGGTCGTCGCCCTGGCTCGTGAAGCAGGTGTGGCTGCCGTCCGGCTGCACGTCCGCGGGGGTCCCCATCGACCCCGTCTTGGCGGGGGACTCGTCGTCCTTCACGGGGGACTTGGCCAGCACGGCGTCGACGTCGCCCCAGGGCGCCACGAGTCCCTTCGCCCAGAACTCTTCCTGCCAGTCGTCGCCTGGAAGTGCCAAATCATGGTCAGGGCGCCACCGGATTGCTCCAGTATATTTGTACAGTTTAAATTCAGCATTGGTGTTGTACCCCCGTCCTCCGGGTAGGCCTGGCGTTCGTGGTCCGCCTCCAGGGTGTTGCAGAGGCACGCCATGGTGAGCACCTTCTCGCCGCGCGTCGCGATCTCCTGCAGGCGCTGTAGGGTCTCCTCGGCCAGCACCACCATGTGGCTCATCTGGCGGCGGTCGTGCTGCCGCTGGGCGTCCATGGCGTCGCGCAGGCTCAGGTACGCGGCCCGGAACTCGTCGCGCTCGTGGCGCAGCGCGCGCAGGTCGGCCCCGTTGTCGTCGTCGCAGTCCCACGCGCGCACCAGCTCCACGCCCTCCTCGATCTGGCGCTGCATCGCATGCGATGCGAGAACAGTCACGACTAACACTCTGGGACAGAGCGACGAAAACGGCTCTCGGGATCAGTCTGCCGGCCCTACGTGCAGCAGGCGGGTGCGGCGCTTCTGCTCCGCGACCACGCGGTACGTGGCCTCCTCCTTGGCGCGCAGCCTGGCCACGGCGGCGCGCCGCTCGGCGTGGCGCTGCTGGTGCTGCTCCAGGGTTCGGTCCAGCTCCGCCCAGTGCTGCTCCAGGGAGGCTTCGAGGCGCGTCTGCATCACCTGGAACAGCTCGGCGTGCTGCGGAGCCGGCGGCGGCGGCAGCACGCCGTCGAGGGGTAGTCCAGGACCAGTCCACGACGCCGAGGTGGTGCGACCCGTTGCCTCACGCCGCCTTTGTGCCGTTTGATTGTTTATCTGATGGCGCGCCGTGCACGCAGTGCAGTGCACAGTGCGGTGCCGCGGCGCCATGGCGGCGCGAAGGGGGTCAACGAGTGCCGCGCCACCTACGTGTCGAAACTACGACGACGACGCCTGCAGTGCAAATGCGAACTAATGCACACTTTTGCCGCGGCCCGATCTGCACTCTGCACTCGGTCGACGACTCGGTGGCGCTGCTGCCTAGCCGCGGCCACGTCCATTCCGGACAGTGCTTTCGTCGTTCTGTCTCGCTCGCACTCGCGGGCGCGAGGGTGCGCCCGCAAGGGTGCGAGAGAGACAGAGCGACGAAGCGGTGTTCGGAATGAACCCGCTGGCGGGGTTGCTGGAACTGGTTTGCCAGCGGCGCGGCGGGCGCGGCGCGGAGACCGGCATTGCCACACTGTATGACTGGAGAGGCTTCCCACCTTGTCCGTCTCGTCGTCCACCTTGGCGGTGGTGTCCACGCGCCGCTGCTTCTTCTCGGCGTCCATCCTCTCCGCCATGGCGAACAGCACCACCTGCAGGTGCTCGGTGTCGTGGTGCTGGCGCTCCTCGATCTGGGTCTTCTGCTCGAGCCGCGCCGCGCCCAGGTCGGCCAGCGTCCGGCGGTACCAGGCCGAGGCGGACTCCATCTGTCTGTGGAAGAAGTCTGCGCGAGTGTCCTGGGGGCGTCCTGGGGGCGTCCTAGGGGGGCGTCCTTCGCGCACCGCAGCCATCCCGAGCGTACCGAGCAGCTTGTCCACGACCTCGACGTGGTGCTGCAGGTTGGTGTCGTACTGGTCGTTGGCGAAGTCTAGCGCCTCACGGAGTTCATCGATCATAGCCCTCTTCATGTCCATGAGGCGCTCGGAGCGCAGCCGCAGGGCCTGCACCAGCAGACTGAGTCGTTTTCGTCGCTCTATCTCTCTCGCACCTTTAAGAAACGCCGCATGAGTGCGAGAGAGACAGAGCGACGACGCTCGGAATCGGTCTGCAGGCGCCAGAGGTCGGCCATCGCTCACAGCGCCGCCCGTGACGACCCCCGCCGCGGCGGACGCCGAGACCCTCACCAAGAAGTCGTCCTGCAGCTGCGGGGCGCGCAGGCGGCGCAGGATGCTCCTCCACTTGCTCTTGATGGTGGCGGCGTTCACCTCGGTGGCCTTCGTCTCCCTGTCCAGCCGGTCCTGGCCGCAACGAGCGCATCATCAGTTCGCAGTGTCGCGGTTCGCGCCACGGCCGCGACGCCAGCCAATGCCAACCTTTTTCGCCTGGATCTCTTTTTGAATGCGGCGCAGGCGGGCCGCCTCCCTGCGCGCCTTCTTCCTGGCCTTGCGCTCCTCCTTCGAGAGCTTGGCCTTCGGCTTGCCCACCATGATGGCGACGCCGAGGGCCGCGGACTCGGCGGCACCTCGCGCTGCTCGCGCTGCGAGTGCTGACCGGCCGACTGCTGCCAACCCAGCGGCACAATAATGCGCCAGCCCGGGGAGCAGCAACAGGAGCAACAGTCGCTTTCAAATTATGTCCACCAGTGTGCTCGCTGCTCCGCTTCAATGGTCCGCCTTCTCGCGCGCGCCCGGCCCGGCCTGCCCGGCTTGCCCAACCCCCGTGTGTTTCTGGATCTGCCGACTGACTCCGAAAGGATCGCTTCGCCGCTCCGTCTCTCTCGCCCTCGCGGGGCGTCCCGTAGGGGTGCGAGAGAGACAGAGCGGGGCATCAGGGGTCGAATATAATGTCGCGACCAGCGCTGGTGCTCGGACTCTCGGACGACAAACGACTCATATGTGCAGAATGCGCAACGGGCGTGCAACAACGCGCTGCGGCACTGTGCAACGCGGCGCCGCCAAGCCAAGTGCATGCTGGCGCGCTGGCGCGGTCACTCCGGTCACATTCCTGCCCCGGCCGCGGCAAGAAGCGCCGTCTTGAACGTACCCGAGTCCGTTCGGCGAAAAGCCGCGGCGGCGGCTAGAGAAAGCCCTGCGCGGCCGCGACGCGACGCGAGGCCTTCACAGCGAAGGGCCTTTACAGTGACGTGGACATTGTTTATGGCATAAAAACGCGAGTAATGCCCAAGTCCGAGTCTTGCTCAATAATTAATGGGGAGGACGCGCTCGCTGAGTCGTTTCGTCTCTGTCGCACTCATGAGGCTCTCCATAGAGGTGCGAGAGAGACAGAGCGACGAGCTGCTCTCCTGAAGCGCTCGGCAGCGCTCTCGGCGCACTCGGCGCGGCGCGGTGCCGCGGAGGACAAACACTGCATTTATGGAAGCCTTCGGCCAAAGAGTCGCGGAGAGCTAGCGCGGCTTGCGCGGCCAGCGCGTTGCGCGCGGCAAGGTCCGCTGTGCCGCGAGAAGAAGAATGCCGCAATCCAATCGAGAGGCGCTGCACTGCAAGGAGCGCCGAGCCTGGACCACGCCGACAAGGCCTGCCTGCATGACCGAGGGCACGTCGTCTCCCTCGCACCCCAGCGGCATGCCCCACGGGTGCGAGAGAGACAGAGCGACGAAACCTCAGCTGTTTGCGAAAATGCGCCGAAGCAGCACCACACACACGACAAGGAGGTCATCACCCTCGCACTTTCCCCGGCCAAAGGCAACCTGGATTCGGCACGCCACCGCCACACTGCCACACACCTCGCCGCCGTGGGGGCCGCGGGGGCGGAGGGCCTCCACGGACCCACGCTGCGGTCGCCGCCGGGATGGGGCCCTGCAGGCTGATTTCGAAGAGACGCCCCGTCGCCCTGTCCCTGTCGCACTGGTGGGACGCCCCGTGGGGCCCGTAGGGGTGCGAGAGAGACACGCCACTCCTTGGAATCGCTCGGCGACTTGCCGCCGCACGCCCATTTGTGGGGGCGCTAAATTGTCCGGCGCGGTGGCGGCGACGTGGCGGCGGCGAACCACCGCGCTCCCAGCATGGAAACTCAATCTCAAGGGCCTACACCGCCAGCAGCAGGCCCAGTCCGAACGGTGCTTTCGTCGCTCTGTCTCTCTCGTGGGGCGTTCCGCAGGGGTGCGAGTGGGACAGAGTTCTGTAGTTCGGAATCAGCCTGTGCTGCATGCCGCGGCGTGCACGCCGAGGGAGAGTGGGTGCGCGATGCACGACATGGTCGATGGCTTTCGGCGTGTAGTCGGGGCGGCGGTGCGGGATTCACTGCTGTGTCCAGCCTGTCCAGCCGTCGCACGGAGCGGACGGGACGGGGCTCTGAAGAATTGACCGTAGTGCTACAGAAGCTCCCGCCGCTCCGCTAGGCCCCGCCACGCCCCGCCGCGCCCCGCCGCGCCCCGTGCCGCGGCCGCTGCCTTTCACTTTCAGCCGTGCCGTGCCGCGCCGTGGCTCAGCCATATGGACGTTGTGCCCGCGCCGCTCTTCAGATAAGCCGCGGTTAAGTGCGTGTGTGTGGTCCCCTGAGTGTCGTCCATTGTGCATCCCGTGTGTGTGTGAGTGAGAGTGTGAGCGTGTGTTCCGCGTGCCGCTGAGCCAATCAGCTGTTCTCCCCGCGCGCGAGGCCCCAGCGCTCCAGCTTGTAGGTTAGGTCGGCCGTGCCGCCGTGTCGGGTCAGGCTGATGCGCGCCGCGTGGCCCTGGCCGGCGCCGTGCTAGCGGACTGCTAGTGGTCTTCCCCGCCCGGCCGCACGATGGACGACACCCTCCGCGTCGGCGTCCCTGCCGCCGTCGCCTCCTACGGCGCGGCCGAGGCGTCGGAGCATGGCGATGAAGAGCACGCCAGCCCCGGCTGGAGGTTCTGGCGGCGCCGGCGCTACGTGGTGGCGTCCATGGCCTTCTTGGGCTTCTTCAACGTGTACGCGCTGCGCGTCAACCTGAGCGTCGCCATCGTGGCCATGACGGCGGCCTCCAACGCCACCCTCGGCAACGGCACCACCGTGCAGGTGATCACCGGTACCGTGGCACTGGTAAAGCAGCGTCGCGAAAATGTAAAGCTCGAAAATGTAAAGCTCCGCTTCGATGGTCCTCAGGTTCCAGCCGAGTTCGACTGGGACTCCAAGACGCAGGGCCTCATCCTCAGCTCCTTCTTCTACGGCTACCTGGTGACGCAGGTGCCGGGGGGCTGGCTGGCGGCGCGCGTGGGCGGCAGCCGCGTGTACGGCGTGGGTCTGGCGGCCACAGCCTTCCTCACCATCCTCACCCCGCCGCTGGCCAGGGCGGGCACCGGCTGGCTCGTCGCCGTCAGGGTCGTCGAGGGCCTCTTCGAGGTGAGAGCGCGGACGCGGACATGCGCGGCTCCTGGATCCGCATGCGGTGGTGGGTCGGGCGAGCGCCTTACGACGGCGGGGTAGGCAGCCGTGCCGCCCGGCTGCGCTGCGGGAGTGCCTACCTAGCCAGGCTGGCCGGCTGGCTGCGCTGGCCAGGCCAGGGCGATGACTTGCTCGAGGAACAGGAAGCGCGGAAGTGGCCGCTGCGCTGCTGCACTGCTCGCTCCATTGGCGGGATGGTGACGGTGTCGGGATGATTAGGCCCGTCCGGTCCGGCCCGCCACCGCGCCGCCACCGCGACGTCGTCCCGTCCGGCGGCCGGCTAATTCCGATTGGTTCTGCTTGCTCTCGCTTTGATGGTGCGGTGGCGCCACCGCCAATGCAACCTCATCGCCGCTTTCAAAGTCCGCGGCGGGATGACTTTTGGAGCGACGCTGGAAGCTGGAAGTGGCCAGCGCGCTGATTTCCAAGAGTTGCTTCGCCGCTCCGTCTCTCTCGCGCCCTTACGGAGCGCGACGAAAGCACCGTTCGGAATCAGCCTGCAGACTGATTCCGAGAGTCGCTGTCGTCGCTCTGTCTCTCTCGCACTTATTAAGCGTCTCGAATAAATGCGAGAGACAGAGCGACGAAAACGATTCTCGGAATCAGCCTGCAGCAAACTCGTCCTGTGCTGCAGGGGGTGACGTACCCCTGCATCCACGCCGTGTGGGCGCGCTGGGCGCCCCCCGCCGAGCGCTCCCGCCTGGCCACCATCGCCTTCTCGGGGAGCTACGCGGGCACCGTGGTGTCCCTGCCCCTGTGCGGCGTCATCGCGGCGCGGCTGGGGTGGCCGGCCATCTTCTACATTTTCGGTGAGCCTCCGCTAGCCTCCGCCACCAGCCGACCGATTCCGAGAGTCGTTTACGTCGCTGTCTCTCTCGCGTCTGTACGGCACGCCTCATGAGTGCGAAAGAGACAGAGCGACGATAACGACTCTCGGAATCAGTCTGCAGATCCGATACCGCCTCTGGATGAATACGCTCGTGCTTTGTTTTCACTATGATTCTGTTTGAAGGCGTTCTCGGTCTGGTGTGGTACGCCTTCTGGCTGTACATCGTCAAGGAGAACCCAGCGGACGACCCCCACATCTCGCGCGGCGAGCTCCGCTACCTCCAGAAGACCCTGGCGTCTGTTCCGGACGCGAAGGTAGACTCGAAATCCAGCACTTGGTCACAGCCCGCCCAGGCAGCAAGCGTTACACAGTGGGCCAGAAGACCGGTGGAGGCGGTCGAAACTCTAGACGCGTTTTGAGCCCCAGGTCGCTAAGCAGGACTTGAACCGAACGTGTGACCCCACCAATGGATTGCTCGTTCGGAGAGTTCGCCTACTGTGCGTTAGGCGCGCCACTCCACACGCTCCGCGCGTTCATGTCTCCTCCACAGATGGCGAGCCAGCCATGGGGCAGCTTCCTGACGTCGGCTCCGGTCTGGGCCATCGTGGCGGCGCACTTCAGCGAGAACTGGGGGTTCTACACTCTGCTCACCCAGCTGCCCACCTTCATGCGGGGTGAGTGGTCCGAGCGTGGAGTCCACCCAAGCCCCTGCTGGTTCTTTCTAATGAAATTGGCCATGTTTGCCCCCCCAGACGTGCTGCACGTCCAAATCGAGCAGTCCGGGGTGCTGTCCGCGCTGCCGTACGTCTGCATGTCCGTCATCCTGCAGGCCGCGGGCCACTTCGCCGATTGGCTGCGCGCCGGGAGGATGTCCACGACGGCGGCAAGTCCACTCACCTTTCTTCCTCTTTCTTTCTCTCCTGGAAACAAAGTCGGTCACGCTCTGTTGGCAGGTGCGGAAGCTGTTCAACTGCGGCGCCTTCCTCAGCCAGACCGTGTTCATGATGGTGGCGGCCTACGCGACCTCCGCCTGGGCCATCGTACTGTGCATCACCGTCGCCGTGGGGCTCGGCGGTTTCGCGTGGTCCGCCTTCAGGTGTGTTGTCCTGGTCGGACACTGGTGTCGCACCTGTCGCACCTACCGAGCCTACACCACAAATTGCCGATCCGATAGGCGCCTGTCACACAAACGCACACGGGTTGAAACTGGATCGTTGGACATTGAATAAGGGTTCCTTCTCATTTTTCTTTTTTGTCATTTTTGTTTTTGGTGCGCAGTGTCAACCACTTGGACATCGCTCCTCAGTATGCAAGCATCCTCATGGGAATTTCAAACACTGTGGCAACTCTACCGGGTATGATAAGTCCCCACATAACTGGTTACATTGTTCAGGACAAGGTAAGATTATCAGATACAACTTGGAGTGAGAGTCATCAAGATCATCACTCTCAATGAACTTTTCTTTTCTTCCAGACACCATCTCAGTGGAGGACCGTTTTCATGATAAGCAGTTCCATTTACTTGGCAGGGGCCTTGATCTATGGCATTTTTGCATCTGGGGAACGCCAGCCTTGGGCAGATGACACACCAAGTAATAAGTCAACTTTCAACAAGAAACCCGGAACCCGCACTCGTGGCCACACCAACGAAGCTCTAGAGCTCGGCCATGATGACTGAATAGGTTTAAGTAAAAGTCAAATAGGTAAAAAAGCTTGTGTCATAATTATTATGAAATTTTCCACTTTGTTCTCAGTAAGTAAAGACCACAAAAGGAGTGAAAAAAATAAGCAACCAGCTGTAGACCAACTGTCATTTATTTTGATTTATTTTGTTTAGTTAAAAATTACTTCCCAAAGAAATTGATCCTTTCTTCCAAAAAGTAGTTTGCAGCCCACACACAATACTACATAAAGAAAACTCAGAAAAATCCACAGATATTATTGTAGTTAGATTGGATGTCTGCATAACAGAAAATTAAATGCGAAAGAAGAAAAAGCCTGACCAGCAGTATTAACAGTACTTAGATGCCCAACCCACAAATTTCTGCAATTTTTCAATCATGAAGCTATAGAGCTGCAGAAGAATACTGAACCTAGCAGAACATTAAACATTTCAATAAATTGACAGGAAGTTCGTTCTCATAAAATAAATAACATTAGTCAATTCATTGTGAAAGTCTAAAATAAGCGGGTACAACACTTCATACGTATGTAATGGAAGGAATCACAATGCAAATGGTATCACAACAATCGAATGAATAAGGTTTGGGATTCCATATGATCACTCTGCCTTGTAGCTCACTACTGTAGACATGTGATGCAAAGATGTAGAGAAAGTTCTCAGCTGAAGCTCCTGAGAGTTTGAAATGATGCATGGGGCTGTTTCGTTCCACTCCTCTGGCACCTCACAGTCTTTGCTGGTGTAGATGTGGACGTCAAAAGCACCTAAAGACAAATTTAACATGCATACTAATTGGATTCCAGTCTAATATATTGAAGAAAGTGTTCAAGGGCGAATGACTTACATAGGCAATCTAGCAAAGGCAGGAAACTGACAGTGGAACATATTTGTCGTAAAACATCCCGTATTTCATTTTGAATTACTTTTAATTCTTTGTTGCCAGTCTTGACAGGTCCATTTGCCTTCCCAGGTTTGGTCACTTTTGTTTCTTTAAGCTCCTGTAGGTCAGTAGAAGACTCAGAGCCAGCCTCATACTTAACATTAAAGTCCCAACGCTCCAACGCTTCTTTAGTACTGATATTAGTGATGATCATAGAAATCTTCTGAACTTTTTCATCTACCAACCAATCTGAAAAACACAGGGAGCCAAGTATAAGCAAGGTTTAGAATACACATAAATCATGATGGATTAGAGAACGTACCTTTCATTTGATTCAAAACAGTTTCAACAAAGGAGATAATCTTTGGATCAGTAGAGACAAAAATTGACAATCCAAAATTTTCAACAGTCTTGAAGGTCTCTGGAGGATACACTCCTCTTTGGAAGAGGATGCTATTAATGCCATAATCTAAAACAAATGAAAACATAGATAAAAACATAGAAGGTATTGGTTATGGTAAATAAATAAAAGAGACATGCCGAACAAACACAAAAGTGGTAACAAAAGGTGGCTTCTGGGGACTTTCTAACCAACTCGGGACAGCTCATGTCGAACTTACTCAAATACTCCATGACTATCTCGGCCGATCCCCTGAGGGTGATAGAGTTCTTGGCCTTCAGCTGTGTTTCCGTCATGGTTCTTGAGGTCCGCTTGCGACGGATAAAGTAAAAATTGGCGTTTAAATGGAATCTTTTCAAGTTCGCAACACAATGGATGGCTTCAACTTCAACCGGCAAAATTTGAAATCTCACAGCTGAGTTTGAGAAATTTACGACAAGGCAGTGAATAGTGTACCAACTGTCATCTTTTATAAACTGATAGAAAACAAGATGGTGCAGATCAATTATAATGTATTCTTATAAATTTAGGATTGGCTAGATACACTCGTTTTTCACGACAGAAATACTTACATGCTCATTGGTTGTTTTTCCGCAAAAACTTGGGTTGGCCCTCCCGAGTCAGTGTGTCTTCTGCTGCTTTGTGTCCGCTTTCCACACTTGTTTACATGGAGATTGTCTTCGCTTCGCACAGCTGGACCTCCTCAGTCTTTGCTATCATTTCTTATCTGTCGTGTCCATCCACTTTTTAAGATTTTGTGTCGAATCACGGCTTTGTTGCTTATCTGATTTATCTGGGCTTGACCCGTGCACGGCTGTCCTGCTCGAGTGTCTGCGCGTTTTTAAGCAACAGGGCTGCTAGCTGCTGCCACTGTGCTCAGTACAGTGTGCAGTCGCCAAGCTAATGTTTTCAAATGAAGGAAAGAACCAGCTGATTTCGTTGGGTCCACCCGATTATCGTAAGACTTCAGTCAGTACATCCTTTTTTAAAATGAGATTCCAAGTTCATCCCACTCAATCGATGTCGTTGTATCTTTGAACGATTCCCGTTAGTTTCTTCGTGAAGATGTGCGTAGATCTAACCTGTACTTTTGACATTGTGCATCCTCTGCCAAGTTGATGCTAATTTATTCGCCTTAGGTCTCGCCACCACTTTGCGAATACTCGTAGCAACTTTAAGTTTTCCAAGTTAAAGTGTTGTATGGGACCCAGAATTATGTAACAGCAAGAGCATTAAAACCTCACATGACACAATTTTTTTCTGTTGCCAGGTGACAGCCTTAGTACAATGGATTTCAAGGAAATAAGTCCCGTTCTATGGACTACTGACCATGTCAAAGAATGGATGATGACAAACAACCATAGTAAACTCATTCATTTATTCTGCGAGGACCATGCCATTGATGGGAAAGCATTGCTTCTGCTGACTGAGTCTGATCTAAGATCGCCCTCTCTTGGAATACGGGTAGGTTTTAAATGTCATCAGGCATTTACACTCAATCACATTTACAATTGTTTTTGATTTCATAGGCTTTAGGAGATATGAAGCGTCTGAGTATGTCTATTCGACAACTTCAACTTGAAAATTGTGATGCCATTGTGCAAATGGGTTACGATTTGAGTGAACTTATACAAATGCCAAAGGGCCTTGGTAGCTGTTACCCTTTGTGTTCCCTTCGTTCAGTGAGAGATAGGTTAATTGTATGTATCACTCTTTTCACTTTGTTAGGAATTTTTTGTTTGTTTGCTGGACATATTTAATATTTGATATTATTTACAGCATAAAGATCCCTCATTATCAGATTTTATGGAGCGGCCAGGCTCTCAGTATCAGGATGATTCTGGCGCTGAAAACCCAGGCTTACAACCTGAAATTGGGAAAACACTTTTGAGTCTTTTCTACCTTTTTGTTGTAACATGGATCACCGCTTTTGTAATGGTTGTTGTTCATGATAGAGTGCCTGATATGAAAAAGTATCCTCCTCTACCAGATATTTTTCTTGACAATGTGCCCACCATTCCTTGGGCGTTTAGCATGTGTGAATTGAGTGGAACACTGCTGCTTATTGTTTGGTTGGGAGTATTAACATTTCACAAACATAGGTAAGTTTCTGGAAATAAGTTCGTCAAACATTTTCTAAAATATCACAAAATTTGATTTTTTTTACCCCAAAATATGCAACCATTTTCATTGTTTTTTTTGTTGTTTTTTTCCAGATTTATTTTATTGAGGCGTTTTTTCTGCTTGTCGGGAACTGTATTTCTTCTTCGTTGTGTGACAATGATTATCACTTCATTGTCTGTTCCTGGCACTCACCTACAGTGCAATCCCAGTGTCGATGAAGACTGGCAAAGATAAGTTGCTCTTATTTGTTTTTACTATTGCTCTTTTCCTGTATGTGTTACTCATTGAGATCACTGCTTACTTACTGATCAATAATATATCTTGCTTCTGGCCCTTTACATTGTTCACAGAAGAAATGTATACATCTCTCTCCCGTAAGATCCAACGAGCCTATATCATATGGCGTGGGGCTGGAATGTCCATCCAAGGTGTGAGGACCTGTGGTGACTATATGTTCAGTGGCCACACTGTGGCTCTTACAATGCTTAACTTCTTTATAACCGAATGTAAGTATTTACTCATGAAATATGCATGTGCAATGGTTCCTCAAGAGCTTGAATCTTATTGTCTCATCTTGCAACTTTTTCAGATACTCCACGACACATGTACTTTGTCCATACATTTACATGGATGCTGAATATGTTTGGCATATTCTTCATTCTGGCAGCACATGAACATTATTCAATTGATGTGTTCATTGCATTTTACATAACTTCTAGGCTGTTTCTCTACTACCATACTCTCGCTAACAACCGATCTCTTATGATGAGAGACTCTAACAGAACAAGAATATGGTTTCCCCTGTTTAGCTTCTTTGAGTCATCTGTGAGTATTTCTTCTTAAACATTTCGCTCATACTTTTTATTTAATGATAATGATTATGATTTCATTGTTCTGCAGGTTGACGGAATTGTTCCCAATGAGTATGAATCACCATTAGTGCCACTGGGCAAGTTGTGCTCCCTGATCTACACCAGAGTTTTCCATTTTGTCCGCGATACCCATGTTCAGTTACTTGGAAAGAGGATCAAAAACACAGACCCCAAGTCAGATTGAAAATATTTTTATCACCAACTTTCTAGTTTTCTCTCTCTATTCTTTTGAAAGTTATGTTGGATTCTTTTATGTGATCGCCATTGTTCGCCAAGTAATCTTTTTGCCTCCTCATATAAGTTGATCATGTTTCAAGTTTTGTTCTAAAATAATTATGTGCCCTATTCTTCATATAATTTTCTGCAATTTGTAAGCTGTGATGAGGTACTTTGGCCAATACTGGAATTTTGACTTCTTTAACCATGGCTTCCATTTTCTCTTTTGGTTTAATTCTTTTTAAGTTGATTTGTTTTTCTCTAGAGCTTGCATGTAAGTCCAGTGATGAATGGGAACTTGTAAATAGACATATTTCTTCCCACTGCAAGTGTTGCCAAAGACAAGCTCGCTCAAAATCTGCAAGTCTTCATTCATATGCTTAATCTTTGTCTTAAACACTATGTTTTAAAATCAATAATATGTAGTGTACTATCTTGTGATGTGTCTTGAAAGTCAATTTATTTTCTATTATGATTTTTTTTTTTGCATTTATTTTGTGTAACCAGCATAAATATTCTAAGACATTGTTTGTGCTTACTCGCTGAAACATTTGCATTTGCTGCAGTTTCCGAGAACGGATGTATATGAAATCATGTGTAGGGTAGAGAATGTATTTTAACTCGTTGTCTTCAAATAATTTTCCTATCTACTGTAGAGGGGTCAGTACTAGAGCTCCCCCCTCCTAGAGCTCCCCCCCTATTTTCCGCCTTTTCTTGAATTTATTTTATTTAAATGTGATAAAATGAATTAAATATGATAAAAGAAATAAAATATAATTAAATGAATTAAATATGATTAAATAAATTAAATGTGATTAAATGAATTAAATCTGATAAATTTGATTGCACTGCTGGTGCCGAGTGCAAGTTAGATGGATTGGAGTCTACACTAGCCGCGTGAGACCAGCATCGTTCTACCACGCAGCAAGATGCTACGAGAGCTCCAGCGCGGCGGCGGCGGCACTGACAGGGCTGAATTTAAGTGATCTTACCTATCCTAACCAAACCTAACGGGCTGGCGACGGATCTCACTCTCTCGCAAGCTAGAGAAAGATCTGTCGCGAGTGAGAGTGAGATCCGTCGCGAGCCCGTTAGGTTTGGTTAGGATAGGTAAGATCACTTAAATTCAGCCCTGTCAGTGCCGCCGCCGCCGGAGCTGGAGCTCTCGTAGCATCTTCCTGCGTGGTAGAACGATGCTGGTCTCACGCGGCTAGTGTGGACTCCAATCCATCCAACTTGCACTCGGCACCAGCAGTGCAATCACATTTATCAGATTTAATTCATTTAATCACATTTAATTCATTTTATCATATTTAATTCATTTAATCATATTTAATTTCTTTTATCATATTTAATTCATTTTATCACATTTAAATAAAATTAATTCAAGAAAAGGCGGAAAATAGGGGGGAGCTCTAGGAGGGGGGAGCTCTAGTACTTCCTGCTGTAGAGTTAGTGGTGTTTTCACTTAAAAAAAAAACTAGTTCAAGCTTAAACTTTTGCTGTTTCCTTATGTTTGTCCAGATATTTCTGAGCATGATCTGGCTGTTAAAAGTCACAACTTCTGTACTCAAAACCACTATTTTCCCCACATATTTCACAAGTGATTTTCTATTCTATAGGCTGTACTTTTTCTGCAGCCTAACTGATATTTGAACATTTCTCTCGTAAATAATGTTGTTTGATTGTCATCATATTTATCAATGGGACGATAATTCACATATTTAAACACACAATTCTCCTGTTTTTATGAAATTTACATCAATGTCTTCTTTGTGATACGGTTTTTCTCAAATAGTTTATGTACAAATCTAATTCTAGTGTTCTATTTATTTTGTAAAAAGGTGTAAGTGTCATGTGTTTTTTTGCCAAATGTATAGGTTCTAGATTTATTTTGAAGATCCATATGCAACATGGAGTTTACTCAAGAGTTACAGAGAGTTCTTAACTCAAAATGTAGCATCCTGATTTTACAATTTGTTGGTTGTACCCTCTAGTTTTTCTATCAAATATTCAACAACATTCTTTCCAAATGTAGGTTGTAAAGGCAAAAATTTCCCCACATTTCTATTGCCCTGTGATATATTACCATAAAATGGGCTACTTTGTGAGGTGTGATAGAATTTGCCCTAGTAGTGTTATTGAAAAAATATCCACTGTTTCCAGCTTTGAGGTGTGGACCGTTGCTGCATAGAATTGTGGACTTTATCTTGAGAGATGGCATGTGGCAAAAAGTTCAGAGGCAATCATGTATTTTTTTATTTTTTTTTGCTGTATTTTGTCCAAATAGAGACACTCAAAGTTAATCAATGCTTCATTTTATGAAACTGACCTAAGAATGATATTCACTGCAGGTGCCAATGAAGTGCTCAGGCAACAGAATCAAAAGAATAATGGCGAGTGTGCTTTATTTCGTGCTTTTCAATACTATCAGGATCCCTTTTAGTTTTTTAAGTCTTAAGATGTTGCCCCCTCTTAGATCCTGAATGATAGGAGTATTTGGCTGTCAAGATACGGACATTTTGTTGTTTTATTTATTCAAGCCAAGATGATCTTATTTTTATGCAAAGCAATAGCATATTGACTTATTGCTCAATCGGCGATTGTTTCGCTAAGAAGTAGAATTGAATACTTTTCTTGAGTTTGCATGCAGAGAATAGTGGAAATCCTCTCACATGATTGTATTACTATCATTGTTTTAATGTTTGGAATGAATGTATGTCCTGTACTACACTGAAAGTGGTCTACCCCCCCACCCCCCCCCCCTTTCCTCTCCTTTTTTCCATTTCCGTGTCTACACTAACAAGGTGCATAAACGGGCTCAAAGTTCCCTTTACTTTATACTTATGACTGTGATTGTTGTTAAGTTATCAAGCTACGTTATAATAAAGGTTTAAAGCACTGCCATATGTAGTTTGCTGTGGTCTTACTACCATTCCCTTCTATCGGAATAAAATATACCTGGCCACATATGCTCGCCGTCTACTCTTATCCACTCGCGCACACCTGAGAGGACCTGTTCTTCTCAAACATCCCGCCCAAAAAGAGACTCCTCCCCCTCCCTCTCGGTCTCATTTCCGCACGAATCCGTTCCCTGCCCGAAAAGCCGCTAGAAGGTGACGCAGGACGTCGTCTGCTGTTTCGGCTGGTGCATGTTATCATGTTTCAGACGTGCCTGCATTTATGAGTTGCTCTGAAAATTAACGAACATACGCAAACACACGACACGATATAAACACGATGCAGGATCGATGGCAGGGCAAGCCTCCACGTAGTAGTTAATGACGCCGGTAGCTCTTGTGCCGTCTCTTTATAGCTAGTTTCACATAAACCAAAGCTGGGACTAACCCATTTTCCTCATTTACGGTATGTTGAGAAGCAACAGTTTTATTTTTGATGTGGTGTTCATTTTGCATGAATATTGTTTTTAGTTATTTTTGTAGTTGAATTGGGCATGGGAGAGGTTGTTGTTGTCTGGAGGTGATCTATTTGGTTTTTTTCTTTCTACTTCACATATGTAGTGTGATAAATTTAAGAACAAATTTCAGATTGGATATTATCATTTTTTTAAATCTTGGTGTGCCTCTAATATTGTATGTCTTTCATCAACAGATGGCAATGAAGATAGACTACTTAATTTACGCAGTTGCAGCTATTCATCTCTTATGTTGCCCATATACAAAAGTTGAGGAGAGTTTTAATCTTCAAGCAATGCATGATATTCTCTACCATGGCCTTAATCTTACACAGGTCGGTTCAGTTCTCTTCACTTTGAAACAGATTGGTTGTACCATACTAATTTAGAGATTTGTTACAGTACGACCATTTGGAATTTCCCGGAGTTGTTCCTCGGACATTTTTAGGACCAATGTTCGTTTGCTCCTTATCTTCTCCAATATTTTTTGTACTTCAACTGCTTGGCTGCAGCAAAATATGGACTCAGTACCTTGGTGAGGATAGTTTGGTAGCTTGCTTATATCTGGGTCCATGCAAGCCATATTTAGTTAAATTTCCTGAAAATAATGTTTCGCCTTTTCTATTATTTTTGTAGTCCGTGCTGTGTTGGGTCTTTGCGTTTTGGGATCCTTTCATGTTTTCCGCAAAGCAGTGGAGTTCGTCTTTGGAGCTCAAGTAGCCATTTGGTTTCTCACTATAACTTTGACTCAGTATCATTTTATGTTCTATCTGAGCAGGCCACTACCAAACATATTCGCATTACCATTAGGTGAGTGTGATAATCTTGTACCTATTCCAAAGAACACCAGGTCCCTAATCTTGATTGCTTGGTCTGTCTAGTGCTTTTGGCTTTGACTGGATGGCTCCGACGGCGTTATTCCCTCTTCATAATTGCATCAGCTGCAGCCATAATCATTTTTAGAGGAGAATTGGCTCTACTGTTTGGCCTCATTCTACTTCTTGAGCTAATTTCTCGTCACATAACTATTCCCAAGTAAGTTTTAACTGCTGAATTTATATTACTGGTTTCTAGTTTCTCCTTTTTCTCTAACCACTTGATTTTTTGTTGCAGACTCTTTAGAGTTGCTGCTCCAGCTGGTGTCATTTTCTTGATGCTTACTGTTCTGATTGACTCTGTGTACTGGGGTAGACTGCTCTGGCCAGAAGGCGAGGTCTTATGGTTTAATGTGATTCAGAATCGCAGTCATGAGTATGGAGTATCCTTATAACTTTAAAAATAGATATATACAAAATTATTGAGATTACATGAGCTGGAATTTAGTTTTAATGTCTACACAATAACTAACTATTCATTATCCTTAATACTAAATCAGACTTCTCCATTTTTGTGGTACTTTTATTCAGCGTTGCCAAGAGGTTTAGGTGCTTCATTTCTCCTAGTCCCGCTAGGAGCTATCATGGATTTCAGAGTTAGAAGAGTTTTACTGCCAGCAGTTCTATTTGTCCTACTATACTCTTTGCTTCCTCACAAAGAGCTCCGCTTCATCATTTATATTTTTCCACTACTGAATGTTGTGGCAGCAGCAGCTTGCAGTAGACTGTGAGTATTATATTCATGAATGAATGCTGAAAAATATTTCTTATACTACCCCAAATAATAATAATAATAATAATAATAATAATTTTTCTAGTTGGGAAGCAAGAGCACAAAGCCCATTGCATTCTATCTTTGCTCTTGGGGCTGTTGGGCATCTTTTACTGAATAGTTTATTTTCCGTCCTCCTCCTTTGTATTGCTACCCAAAACTATCCGGGAGGATTTGCCCTGGCTCACCTTCATCGAACAGAACAAACAGAAAACAAAGTCAATGTTTACATTGACAACCTAGCTGCTCAAACTGGTGTCTCTAGATTTACACAGGAGAATATGTTGTGGATGTGAGTATTAATTCCTGTGCAACATTATGTAAAATTTCTTCACTGAAGATAATTTTGAGTTTTGTCTTGCTTTAAAGGTATAATAAGACTGAACATCTAAGAAATGGAAGCCCAGAAATGTTCACTTTTTCACATTTGCTGCTGGAAGCCCGCAGCAAGTACTCTCCCAATCTCAAACCTTACTCAAGGACACATGATATAATTGATGTTGTTGAAGCTTTTTCTCATATCAGCTTCAACTACAATTCTTTCTTACCTATTCGAATCAAAACTAAGCCAGCTCTCTTTACCCTGAGAAGGAAGAAGGCCTTTGCACAATTGTTTGAAGCAGCCTTTGCTAAGGAAGAAATTGAAGAGGCAGCCTTTCCTGAAGAGGACATTGAAGAAGCACCCTTTGCTGAGGAGGGACTTGAAGGAGCAGCATTTGAATCTCAATTTCCACATGAACCTAATACTAAAACGGATGAGTCTTTAAAAAGTGATGAGATCGACAATGTTGCTGATATTGAAGAAGTGGGCAAGGTAGATGAAGATGGTTACATGGAGCAGTATGCAGCTCTCAAACCTGAGGAAGAAATTGAGAGGGAATTGGAAAATCAGATTTCTTTTACTGACGATGTTGAAGAACTCGACAAAGCGGAGCAGTATGCAGCTATTAAACCTGAGGAAGAAACGGAAAGGGCATTGGAAAATCAGATTTTGCCTACTGACAAAAATGACAAGACAAAGAAAAGGGCTGGTATTTCTAAATCAAAGCACATAGGAAAGAAGAAGAAACGTGAAACGAAAGTTGATGCTGAGAGTAATAAGAAGTCACTAAAGCTGTCTGATGATGCAGATGCAGGTTTTGCTTTGCTTGAGGAAGAGTCCAAGTTATTGGATTTGGAGGAGGAAAGATTATTAGAAGACATTTACTTGAGCTCTGCTGATCTGAGTGAACCATTAGATAATAAGTCTTTGGAAGAAAATGTTGAAACAGTCACTGTTCAAGACCAAAGCCAATATGAAGTCAATGTGAAGGAGAAAATTAAAGCATTAATACGTGAAGAGAAAGAAGAAGAAGAGCGTGTCAGAAAAAAATTAAAACCTATGAAAGGCAAGCTAGAAATACTGCTGGCTGAGAAGAAAAATGCTAAAATACGACAGGGTCTGATGAAGAGTACAGACTGCTCAGATTGTCAAGAGGAGAATGAGATTAACCAATCTCCATCTTCCCAACCTTTGGAAGTTCAAAAAGATGGTGGAGAAATATTGAGAAATGAACTGAAGGATGAAGATGAACTCCTTCCACCAGTTGTTGAAACAAATATAGAAACTGAGGTGAATGATGATGATGGTATTGCAATGGAAAAAATTGGGAAGGACAGTGATAAAATCAGATTTACAGATTTTTCCACTCAATTGCCCAAAGATACCAAATCCCCAGTTGCAGGTGTCACACCTCATGTGTCATCAACAAGTCAGTTATTAATATTAGATATGAAAGTAACTACGCAAATACCTCTTACGCAAACTCTTGCACCTGTTGCCATAATTGATGAAAAAACTATCACCCCAGCTATGAAAGAACCTGAAGTGATTTCCCAGTCCTTACTCTCAACCCAGGAAGCTCCCGAAATTACCACAAAGTTGCCAAATAATGCAGCCAGTTCTGAAAAGCATATTGTGTCGGATGAGATGCTAGGACCAACTCCTATGCTGGTTTCTTCAGCTGTGACCAAATCTCCCATTCCATCACCAGCAGCTGCTCCAGCTGCTCTTTTTCCAACTGACACACTATCATCCGTCAAGAGTGTTCTATTACAAGAGAAACAATTGGATACCTTACTGACTGAGGAACCCAAGGATTTTGGTACTGTTCCTCCTGAACTTGGCCTTGAGGAACAAAGTGACCAGGCAAAACCTGTCCAGTCAGCAACATTGGATTCGAATCAGTACTCAGAAATTCATGACAAGGAATTGGATTTTACCAAAGAGACCTATCAAAATACTATTGTGGCGGCGTCTGTTACACATGACCAAGAAAAAGAGAAACCAACCCTAAATGCAGGCTCTGAACATTTTAAGGAACAAGGTGCACCGCAAGTACAGATGGAGATAACGGAGTGATGGAGTCTACTCAATTTTACTAGTTGGTAAACCAATAGTGTCCTGGATCTCACCAGTTTATAATTTTAAACACTATAAATTATAAAATTTAAAATAAAAAAAAAAAACGTACTGAAGAGTGCCAATGAGACAGAGAAGATCTGGAATCTAAGAATGAAGGAATGAAGAAAAACAAGTTATTGCTGTGATAGGTAGTTAATAAATAATGATGTTAGTTATTAGCAATGCTGCCGCTGATATGCCAATTTTAACTTAAGGAACTTGTTTTGCAATGAATAGGATAGCTCAAGGATTTGATCAGTTATAAGCAATACTGAGCACACAAATTGGAAGTGTACACCATTTTGACATTACTGCTTTTGGCAAACTTGCTTGTAATATAAGTTATTACCCTTTCACTCTGACAACTTCATTTGTTTGGTGTTTGCTGATTTATTACAAATTTCAGTTTTGATCTCTGCAATGTATGATGTTTATGACCACAACTGTAACTTATTGTTGCTGAGGTCATGTGATGTGGTTCGGTTTTTATATTCAAGTAATGATATAAACCATGAGAGCAGGGCTGCTTTGCTTTGCTTTCAAATGTTCAGACGCTGCTACATTTCTTTTGTTTGTGTGGTTTTACTTTTCAAATGAACCAAGACTGAGGACTGACATCCTTTAACATGTGTGCCTTTTTGTGGAAATGTGTTATTAAAGACAATTAACACATTAAAGCTCTATTATTTATTCACATACAGTTTTCACCAGAAGAAAGCCCTAGAGGGATGTGACAATCCCTTCAAAATTAATAAATTTTCTTTCAAAACATTAAAATTTGAATGCGTCTTATGAAGTTGAGAACTACAACAGAAATTAAGTTAGTCAGTGAAGAAGTTAATTACATTGTAGACGAACAATGAGGCAACACTAATGGAAAGTCCACTGACAATAAGATCATCGGACACGCCCTTCCTCCTGTACATGGGCGTTTCAGCGTTAAGAGGGTCCTGGAACACAATTAAACACCACTTTTAGTTGAAGTCAGTAAATATAGAGACTCACTTAATAGGCACATAATTACTCCCTTTACCTGGAAGTGTTTCTGCCACTTCTCAATGTTAGCATTCTTGGGGCCGAAGGCGGTTTGACCAGGGTTGATAGCCCGTCCCATTTCAGCCAGTTTCTCAGGTGAGAAATTTAACTTGACTTCAGGAACAGGGCCTGAGCTCATGGACCTCATGCGCATGGCAGTTGAGGCTCCCCTCTGATACAAACAAGAAAAACATAAAACTTAATTCATAGCCCTGAGAAGCGAGGATAATGAGTGAAGTGATCAAGTCAAAACAAGGTCCAGCAAATGTGGGGTGAATTGTAAGGAGAATGGATACCAAGGTCGTGAGAGATGGGGAGAAGTTGCACACACATGTGAGTAAAAGTTTAATAATCAAAATGAGATGAGGTGCAGCAATAAATTTTGAAACCCTGTGACCCCCAAGAGATTTGGAGATCAGAAAATAACGAAGGAACGCAAATAAGAAGGGACAGTTTCGATGGAAATGATAAAATAAAATGACAATTTGAAAGGTAAGCATCTTGAAGAGGAAAACATATCGAACAAAAATTAATTGGACAGGTTGAGACGAAGTGGAGGTCGAGAGGTTAGGAATAGTTAAGTATGAACTGTGGGTCTTGTCGAGACTGATTCTTCAGGTTCAACCAATATTACGACCAGATGGACTAAAAAGCTACTAACCTGGACAGCGCGGCTCATTTTGGAGATGTCGGAGTTCTTCAGATGCCAAAACTGTTAAACGGATCGAATGAACGATCAAACTGGACTGAATAAAATGGCGTCCGCGACGTCTGCTCTGTCTGCTGCGGGGTCACACCGGATCTGACTCAGGGCAGGAAGCCTTGTCTCCTCCCCTGAGTCTCTCCTCCCTTGAGTCAGATCGCCAGGGCGGGAAAACATTTCCTACCGATTTAGGTTATTTGGTTATTAGTTGTCGTAAATGCGCAAAGTTTGAATTACTCACGGACTTGTGCATTCAACTGAAATCTTCTTGATTCAACAATTAAATAAAATGCCGTGTGAAATTATAACATTGCAGCTGGGCCAATGTGGAAATCAAAGTGAGTGAAGTCAGTTCTTTATTTTGACAGATCGAGCCTAAATTTGGAAATTGTCGAGAAAAACTCGGGGAAGGAGATTAGTTTTGGTCTTATCTCGTACCTTGTTTTCGTTTTACTCTGAACCTATTGACATACCGTTTTATGTCAGTTACTGATATTCATGTGCCATTCAATAATTGTTCTGTTCCCTTGTTACATAAACGTACGATATTGTATTTTACCCAAACCTTTTGAACTCATTAACTTATGTCTTTGTTACTTTATATTGTTTAGTTGGATTCGAATTTTGGAAGAGATTGTGTGCGGAGCATGGCATCAGTTCGGAAGGAATCTTGGAGGAGTTTGCAACAGAAGGCACTGATCGTAAAGATGTATTCTTCTATCAGGTAAGTCTTACTTTGATTTTACCAAGACCTGGTCCTATCATCCATTTGTGTTTGTTTCCTTTTTTAATTTCTTTCAGGCTGACGATGAGCACTATATTCCGAGAGCAGTTCTCCTTGACTTGGAACCCCGAGTTATCCACACCATCATGAACTCTCCTTACGCTAAGGTGTGTACTCTGCAACTATTTCAAAGCCCGTTTTGATTCTACTGGACATCCACTTACCATGCTGTATGTTATAGCTTTACAACTCGGAAAACATCTACCTTGCAAAGCATGGTGGTGGTGCTGGAAATAACTGGGCATCAGGACACTCCCAAGGAGAGAAGCTCCAGGATGAAATATTTGATATAATTGACAGAGAAGCAGAGGGCAGTGACAGTTTAGAGGTCAGAGTATTTATTAGGCTGTTCTGAAGTGTGTTGTCATCCTTTTTGATTCTTTGTTGATATTCTAGTTTTCTTTGATACAGGGCTTTGTACTATGTCATTCAATTGCTGGGGGTACTGGATCGGGCTTGGGGTCATATCTTTTGGAGAGACTTACAGATCGTTTCCCAAAAAAGTTGGTTCAAACATACAGTGTGTTCCCCAATCAGGAGGAGATAAGGTTTGTGCTTCTATTTTAATTTTCAACCTATACCCTTTGGCAACAAACAGTAGCTCACCTCCTTCTTCTCTTTTTTAGTGATGTTGTTGTGCAACCATACAACTCACTCCTAACTATGAAACGGCTCACTCAAAGTGCTGATTGTGTAAATGTACTTGATAATACTGCACTGAACCGTATAGCAACAGATCGCCTTCACATTACGAATCCCTCATTTGCGCATATTAACACATTGGTTTCGACAATTATGTCTGTTAGCACTACAACATTAAGGTAATTATATTTCTGTTATTTCAAAGGCTTATGCTGTTCTCTATCTGGACCATACTAATTGCATTTTCCATAGATACCCATCTTACATGAACAACGATCTCATAGGATTGATTGCACCCCTCATACCAACACCCCGTCTTCATTTCCTAATGACGGGATACACTCCCCTCACAACTGATACTGAGGTACACATACTTTTTATTTGTTTCATTGTGCTTTTATCATTGGTTTTCCAAATTTTAAAAATCTTGTTCAACTTTGAATTTGCCAGGCTACATCTGTCCGAAAAACAACTGTCTTAGATGTAATGCGTAGATTGCTGCAGCCAAAGAACATGATGGTGTCTACTGCCATCGACAGAAATGCTGCTCACTGCTACATCTCCATTCTAAATATTATTCAGGTAAATTTTGCTATTTTATTCATGTTGACAGATGTTTTTTTAAAAATAGTTTATTGACTACCAACCTTACAAAAATTGAATGTTGGCATTTTTAGGGAGAGGTTGATCCCACTCAAGTTCATAAATCCCTTCAACGTATCAGAGAACGCAAGTTGGTGCAATTTATCCCTTGGGGACCTGCTAGTATTCAAGTTGCTCTATCTCGCAAATCACCGTATGTTCAAACAGCTCACAGAGTGTCTGGTCTTATGTTGGCCAATCACACCAACATTTCATCAGTATGTATGATTCTTATGTCGTATGTGAAATTAAAATTTTATATTTCACTTTAACATTGCATTTTTTCATGTTTGTTTTTCAGTTGTTTGAAAGAGTTTTACAGCAGTATGACAAATTGCGCAAGAGAGAAGCTTTTCTGGAGCAGTTCCGGAAAGAAAAAATGTTTGAGGACAGCCTGGATGAATTAGATAACTCTCGAGAGGCAATTCAGGAACTAATTGATGAGTACAAAGCAGCAGCAAGACCAGATTACCTAACTTGGGGCAATCGACAGGTCACTTAATCTTCTTTAATAGCTGCTAATGCTCTCTCCTTAAGTTATTGAACTTGCACAGCTTTTTTTACTATTATTGTTAAGTATGTACCATACTAACATTATTTGACTTCTATGAAGGAGATCTTGTACTGCTGAAATTCGCATGGTTTCATGTAACTTGTCATAATTATAATGTTAAAAGTTGCTTAGTCGCAGAATGGTTAACCATATTATATCTATACATAAGTTTTGACTAACTGTCAGAGTTATGTCCATTTAGGACATTATTGTTAAATGTTATAATTTATTGTTCACTGTCCAATATCTGTGTCAGCAACTTAATTGCCAGCACCCTGTAACTTACAGTTGGCATACTATTGAGACAGTTGCCATACAACTAAAAATCCTCATCCAATTAAAAATCCTCAATAGGTTTAGTTCCCAGGAAATTTAGCATTTATCGTTTTGTAAGGCAAATTTATTTTTCAAATTACTGGGTTAAGAAGTAGTTGCAATTTAAATATGTCTCACAAAAATATATATTGTTAAGTTATCACATTGTTATTATTCTTGCATCACAGTCTTCTGGATTTAAAAATGTATGTTGCTGCTCTGTGTATGATTGTGTGCCTTTTCGCAAGCTCATCCAAAATTTTGTCATAGCCACCACCTATTACTGTTGCACAGGGAATCCCTTGTTTTAGAACCAAGTCTAGAACATATCGGTCTCTCTTCATTAGCCCTGAAAAAAAGAAAAATTATTAATGTATCCCGGTTATGCAGTTGATATATTCAGTTTATGTTCATGTAGAATAAAAGAAATCCTATTTGAGAAATTCTTACCGTTATCTGTCATCCTCAGGTAACCCAAACTGTCACAGGCGTGAGGATCCACTCCAGCATCATACAGCACAAGGTCAGGGTGGAATGAATTCAGCACAAATGGAAGATGCTCCTGAAAAGAGATCTGTTAGGCCCAGTTTGCAATATTGAGGTATGTGGTCATTGTCTGTTTGATATCTCCATCACCTGTAACAGAGCTAAGAATTCTTGATCCCCATCTCCTTTGTGAAGATTTACATCTAAATCAGACTGCTGTTTTCTAAATGGAAAATTCTCTTGACAATGCATTGAAAAGGTGTATACATTTTCACTATTTTGGAAAATGAATGCTGTTCCATCTCCCTGTAACAGAAATACCGTAGTTACATTCAGTTTTTTCTTGAAAAACTCTTTTTGAGAATAGTGATGAAGTATCTTACTTGGTGAACATCTAGGTCAATTATAAGGACCTTATTCACTTTTCCATTGTTTATTAGGTGCTGAGCAGCAACTGCTAAGTCATTTATCAGGCAAAATCCAGCACCTCGGTCAGGAAATGCATGGTGGGTGCCACCTGCAGTACTACATGCAAGACCTCTTTCTAGTGCTATTTCAGCTGCAAGTAAAGTTCCACCTAAAAGTGCACAAATTCAGAATTTGAGGTTTAAATTTTCAGTTATTACTAGAATACCGTAATGTAGGTATAATTTTTGGCTACCTGTTTCATACCTCACACGACTTGCAAGGCCTTGACTCCATTCAAACCCTGTTGCTCTTTGCTCATCTGCTGTAGTTCTTCCATTGAAAAACTTGCTGACATATTCAGAAGTATGTACACATTCGGCATTCTGAGCAGATATTTGTTGCGGCTCAATTACCTTAAATATCATATAACAAAGAAAAAATTAGGCTACTTCATGCCTAATAATACACTTAAAAACTCAAATACTCTTAAAAATTAATGATCAAAAATTCAGTTAATGTACTGACTTGTTTCTGCTGGTCAATTACGCCATCGTCGACTAGATAATGAAGAACACGATGAAATTTCTGCATGGGAAATCTGTGTTCAGACGGAAGTGGACACACATATCCAGGAGTATGTACTATAGGAAGCCCATGAAGAGCTTTCAGCTGCTGCCTTTGCTTGTCGGATAATTCAATCTGGAAGGATGTGTATCAGTTTCCAAGTCAAGTTACACACACTAGGTTGAGTACATGAGGTTATGATTTAGTGTGAGGCTGGAACTGCACGGAAAAGTTTGTTTATTTCTTACAGTGTGCTGCAGGCGTTTGAACACGGTTAAACACTTTGGCATCCTCACTCTCCTGAGGCTGGACATATTACATCTTGAAAGTAATGTCATCTCAGCTGTTTGAGTGTTTTGAATCCACATGTAAACAACCTTGATGGCGTTTAGATGTAGCAGACGACAAAGGTGTAGAAGGTTATGTGTGTAATTTAAGGAAAGATTCTGCTTATTTCTTAAATTAACGGTTTTCAAGGATCAAAATGAAATTTCCCCCCGTCTTAAGCTTAACATTTTATATATACATTGTTTTTAAAGAAATTACGGATGCGTTTTTTTGAAAAAGTGACCATGTCTTTCTGGAACTCACCCCGGAAGTTGCGTTTACTCAGAGGTGGCAACTTCAACTATTCTCGTTCAAAGTGGTAACGCCAAGTTGACTGAACTGCCCGTGCCACTGCCACTCACTTTTTGAAAATGGAATATATAACATTGACTTTTCTTTTTCTCTCCTCACCATCGTTCAAACTTAAGTCCAAGTTAATTTCTATTTTTTTCGTGTGTTGCCAACCTATTCTAGCAGACGACCGCTTCCCCCACCCTCCTGGCATCTGTCAATGTGGCCCGTGGCCGTTTTGTTGTATTTATACAGGTTAACTCTTTCTCCGGTTGCCAGTCGGTTCAAACTCCCGCTCAGCACAGGTGCTGCCTCCCCACCTCTGCAGAACTTGTCGCGTTCCAGAAGACAACATGTGTGGTAGGTGCTGAGCGCTTTTCCGACTGCCATCCACTCGCGATATAGATGTCGATTATTGTTTTAATGGATATTAGCACCCGTATGTGAATTGTCGATAAAGTGTGGATTTGAGGGGCCCAGTGCTGGTCTTCGTCTGGATCGAGGGCAGCAGCCGTGCTCCAGGGAATGCCTGGGCGTTTGGTCCAGCGCCGCAGGGGCGGCTACACCTTAACCCTGGGCTTTAACCTATCACCCTAGAGATAGACTCTGACGGTGGTCCGGCTTCGTTCGCGGCTTTAACATGTGAACCCTACCGCTCCGTTGGTCCCAGAACAAGCGCCCCATGCAGAAGGGCGTTGTATGTGCGCCACGCGTGCATGGCGGTCTGGAAACCTTCCCCCTCGCGCCCCGCTGCCGCAGGGCTGTCACAGGGCCGCCACTGGGCGCGCTAAGAGCGCTCCCCTGGCACCCCAGCCTAGCAGCCAGTGTCAATTGACACCACGTCGTTTGCCCGCGTGCCTGCGCGGTTTGTCCGCGAATGGCTCGGGCTGGCGCTGCGCGCCCACGACGCGTGTTTGTGTACGACTCTGTAACGTCAGGCGGCAGGCTGATACCGAACAGGGCTTCGACGCCCCGTCTCTCTCGCACCCCTACCGGACGCCCCGTGAGTGCGAGAGAGACAGAGCGACAACAGCCGAGTAGGAGTGTGAGGAGTCGTGGCGCTGGCGCTGCACGGCGCGGTACCTCGCGGTGCCCACGGCATGTCACCAGTCTTATCGCAGGTGGGTTCGGCAACCGTCGCTCCGTCGGCAAACACCTGTCTGGCCGCGGATCGATGCGCGTCGTGCGCGTTGAGGAAGGACCGAGCTGTTCTTTCGTCTTCGGTGCGTCCGTCCTGCACTCTCGGGGCGTTGCCGGGGGGTGCAAGCCTTGGATGATGCAACACTAGGGCGGGGAGGTTGCAGGCGCACAGTGGGCCAGAAGACCAGTGGAGGCGGCCAAAACTCGAGACGCGTTTTGAGCTCCAGAGTCGCTAAAGAGGACTCGAACCGAACGTGTGACCCCACCAATGGATTGCTCTCCGAACGAGGAATCCATTGGTGGGGTCACACGTTCGGTTCGAGTCCCATTTAGCGACTCTGGAGCCCGAAACGCGTCTAGAGTTTTGGCCGCGTCCACCGGTCTTCTGGCCCACTGTGAGGCGGGCTGCAGTTTTGGCGGACCCCTGCGTCGCAGTGCAGTGCGTGGCGCTATGCAACCCGCCCACTCGGCCAGGGCGGACGCCAGGGCGATGCGACACCAGGCCGATGCGGGGCAGCGAGGACATTGCACTTGGCCGCTCTCTCCTGTCCCGCATCCCGCCTCTCGCCGATGGCGGCATCGCGGCTCCAGCAGGCTGCTCCGTCTCTCTCGCACTCATGCGGCGTCCCGAAGGGGTGCGAGAGAGACGGAGCGACGAACGCAGCGTTCGGAAGCAGCCTGCCGGCCGGCCAGGCGAAGCCGCGAAGCGCCGCTGGAAGGGAGGGCGGCGCCACGGCCGCACTACACTGTGCTGGCCGGGTGGCTCTCCCTGGCATTCCCTGTTAGCTCTGCCCGCAGGCGTGCCGCAGGCCGGCTCTCGGTCTCCCTCGCACCCTGGCGGCACCCGGCGGCACGCCGCTTGAGTGCGACAGAGACAGCGCGACGAAAACAACACTGTTTGGACTGCAGTCCCCAATCGAAGCTCTGACGTGGGCCTATCGCTGTCGTCGTCGTGGTCCCCGGTCCACGAGCGGTCCGCGAGCGGTCCGCCACTCCGACGGGGAAAACGAAGACGGCTGCGCTTTTCCTCCTCCCTTGAGATAACCTCGTAAAAACGTGTAGTGTTCATTGTGCATCGCGCTGACTGTTCGTTCGCGGACCCGCCGGGACCCGCGGCAGGGAAGTGCTGCCAGCCCGCCGTCAGCACGCGTCTGCAGTGGGCGAAGACCGGCGGAGGCGGCCAGAATTCTGGACGCGTTTTGAGCTCCAGAGTCGCGAAATGGGTCTCGAACTGGACGTGTGACCCCACCAATGGATTCCTCGTTCGGAGAGCAATCCATTGGTGTGGGGTCACACGGTCGGTGCGAGTCTCATTTAGCGACTCTGGAGCTCAAAACGCGTCTAGAATTTTGCCCGCTCCACCGGTCTTCTGGCCCACTGTGGCGTGCCGGCCAGGGCCAGCCAGACCTTTGGTGACCTTTAGGTTCAGTGACGGCGGCCAAACTGTCTGTCTGCGTTACCAAATTTCGGACCGGGCTCTGCACTGCGTCGCACTGCGTACGGACCCACCGGCGTTCTCGAGTTAATCTTCGGAAGTCTCCGTCGTTGCGGTCGGCCTGTCAGGCGGCGTGCGTCGGTCCGTGCGATGGCGGCGTCCTGCGCTCCGTCACTGTGACATCGTCGTCGCGGACGTCACCACACTGTCGTCAGTGCTACGGTTTATCAGCAGTAGTGAAGGTCTTTAATCTGCGTCTGATTCTGATTCACTCAATTGATTTATGTGGAACTTGTCGAGAATAACCTAGGGCCGGAAGCCAGCCAGGACTAGGGCACTGCCACTGCCAGAGCTAATCTTTCTGCGTGAAGGAAATGTCCCAGACCCGCCCCGCACCATGCCCGCACCGCACGCGCGCGCTGAGATTTCGGGCCCCGTCTATCCTCAGATGTTTGCCAGACCCTACGCCCTAAGCTCCCAGTTCACTGTGTACTCATTAAAAGAAAACGCGGGCGCTGCGTAGAGACGAGAACGGCTCAGAAGTCGAAAATGAAACCCGCGGAATTCGATAAATCGCCATTTTGGCAGTCAGCTTGCCTGGAAAGTGACGTGGCGTTGTTTTATTCTTCCAACGCGAGAAAGTGTTTTTCTCCCCTCCCCATTTTTGGTTCTCGCTCTTATTTTCCAAAACTAAAATGTCACGAATTAACTTTTCCTCTTCATAGAACCTGTTTCACCGCCGCCGCGAGTCCGTTTTATTGCGGAACTGGGCGGACGCCCCGCCAGTGTAGGCTCGCCTAGGCAGCCCAGGCACGCCGATGCGTGATTTTGCTCTTCGGCTCGCCGTGCTCTGTCGTGCCGCGACACTTGAAACCCGCACCACTCGGCACGGCACGGCGGGCTGTCTTACCCTAGGCGGCGTGGTGGACCGGGCCCGAAAGGCAGCCGATTTGTGGTCCAGCCGTGTTACCCTACCAGGCGCTCCAGTCCGTGTTGCGGGTAGGCCTACCCCAGGGTTCGCGGGCGCTCCAGTCCGTGTTGCGGGTTGGCCTACCCCAGGGTTCGCAGGCGCTCCAGTCCGTGTTGCGGGTTGGCCTACCCCAGGGTTCGCAGGCGCTCCAGTCCGTGTTGCGGGTTGGCCTACCCCAGGGTTCGCAGGCGCTCCAGTCCGTGTTGCGGGTTGGCCTACCCCAGGGTTCGCAGGCGCTCCAGTCCGTGTTGCGGGTTGGCCTACCCCAGGGTTCGCAGGCGCTCCAGTCCGTGTTGCGGGTTGGCCTACCCCAGGGTTCGCAGGCGCTCCAGTCCGTGTTGCGGGTTGGCCTACCCCAGGGTTCGCAGGCGATCCAGTCCGTGTTGCGGGTTGGCCTACCCCAGGGTTCGCAGGCGCTCCAGTCCGTGTTGCGGGTTGGCCTACCCCAGGGTTCGCAGGCGCTCCAGTCCGTGTTGCGGGTTGGCCTACCCCAGGGTTCGCAGGCGCTTCCGTCCCGGCAGTGGGTTGGCCTACCCCAGGGTTCGCAGGCGCTCCAGTCCCTGCAGTGGGTTGGCCTTTAAAGTTTTACTGGTGCTCCCAGCCACTTTGCCGGCCTGCCTGGTCTGCCCCGACGTGCCCACCCCGTCGGCTGCGCGCTACGCGGCGCCACGCACTGAAGGCCGCGGTGGTTACAGCGGTGCAGGGCGGGGTAAAAAGAGAAATACAACCTCGCTGCGTATGGGCCGTATAGGCACACAGAGGGACCGGTCCGGCGGCCCGTAAGGCTTACGTAACGAGAGCAAGGGACCTGCGGTGCCGGGCTGCCAGGCCCAGGGCCGCAGGGCGGAGTCCGGCGGAGGCCTGTACGTCACATTTTTAGACATGCGTGACGCCTTTATAGTATTTGTTGGAGGGCAGGGCGAGCAGGGCGGCGGTGCGCATAACCGACCGGGCCGCGCGTTGCCGGCGTTGCCACGTAACGAACCTGCCACCTGTGGGCCGGGCCTGGCTGCCTGGCTCGGATCGATTGCTTTGGAAGGAATCGGCAGTTGAGCCACTCTAAAGAGTCGTCGCTCTGGCTCTCCGTAAGGGCGCGAGAGAGACAGAGCGAAAAACAGATCTTCTGGGCTCGGCAGACGTACCAGCGAGCGGGCCGAGGAGCCGAGGACAGAACGACAGGAGGCCTGTCGTGTTTGCTGAGCGTCACTTTCTACCGCTGCAGCAGAGACCGATTCCGCGCAGCGTTCCATCGCCGTCTCTCTCGCGCCCATGCAGGACGCCCCGTGAGTGCGAGAGAGACGGAGAGGCATCGCGCTGCAGCCTATGTATCGGCCGCGTTTCGAAATGCGCCGCGCGATGCCGAGCCATCGGCTCCCACTCGTTGTCATTGGGGGCGCGAAAGCAGCGGAAACGAAACGCACCGGCCGGCTTGGCGCGCTCCGCCGCTCCGCGCTTGCCGCTTGGCGACGTGACGGCTGTCCTGGAGACCGATTCCGAGAGTCCGTTTCGTCGCTCTGTCTCTGTCGCACCTGTATGGGACGCCCCCTGAGTGCGAGAGAGACGGAGAGACTCTCGGAATGAGTGTCCTGGAGAACGGCGTGGAGCGCGGGCGGCGGGATGCGTTGCTCTCTCCCGTTGCGTCAAGGAGGAAGTCGCGGGCGGGCGGCGTGTATCGGCGGGGCGTGGTCCGCGTGGCCGCCGTGGTCGCTGCGAGCAAGCCAGTCACCTCTTGTATTTTTTGCGGATTGGATTGGCCGGATTGGCCTACACGCCTGTAGGCGCTGTAGCGCGCCGAGCCGAGTGCGCGCGCACTGGGCCGACTTGACTTGGGCGCTGCCCATGGCGCTGCCCATGGCGCTGCCCATGGCGCTGCAACGCTGCACGCCAAGAACCGTAACGCTACTCTCCTGGTCGGCCGGCTTGGCGCATTGCTGCCATTGTATTGCAGCCGTCGAGCCGGCCAGCAGACTGATTCCGAGAGTCTCGCTGTGTCTCTGTCCCACTCACGGGACGACCCGTGTTGGTGCGAGAGAGACAGCGAAATCGACTCCCGGAATCCGTCTGCGGTGGCGGTGTTCCACCGTGTTCCCGGTCAGCTCGGCCGGTTCGCTGTTCCTGGATTTGAGCCCGGTGCAGCGGCGTGCGTGTTCGGGGCGGGGCGGGGCGGGGCGGGGCGGGGTGGGGCGGCTGGAGGGCGCGGCGCCGTCGGCGGCGCGCGTCCTTGGGAGTACGACGCACCCGCGGCGTGCCGGCGGACGCGCCGACACCGCCCAGGAAGAGGGAACAGCAATTTTTCGTCGCTACCGCACCTTCTGCACTCCCAGCCGTCAGCCCTTACCCCCACAGCGTGTCACCACGCACCGCCCCACAGTGGGCCAGAAGACCGGTGGGGCGACCAAAATTCTAGACGCGTTTTGAGCTCCAGAGTCGCTAAACGGGACTCGAACCGAACGTGTGACCCCACCAATGGATTCCTCGTTCGGAGAGCAATCAACTGGTGGGGTCACACGTTCGATCTGAGTCCCATTTAGCGACTCTGGAGCTCAAAACGCGTCTAGAGTTTTAGCCGCCTCCGCCGGTCTTCTGGCCCACTGTGCGCCCTTGGAGGGAGTGGCCGACAATCGATCCCCAAACCCCAAAACCCGCCGAGTGCCCGCCGCCATTTACTTCAAGTTGTTGATGGTTGTTGTCCCCAAGCCGCGACGTGTTTGCCAAACAAGCGGGCGCTGCGCCCCAAACAAGCTCGCCGCGGGGGCGTCGCCGCGTCGCCGCGCGTTGCCGGCCGGGCCGCCGAGCGTTGCATTGTCACTCGCGACACGTCCACGACACGTCTTCGCCGGCGTGCTCGAGCCTCGAGCGGCCCGCCGTAGTGGGCGGCCTTGCCAGGTCGGCTCGGCTCGGCTCGGCCTGACACGCCGCCGGACTCGTCCGGCCCAGCGGCCGGCAGCGCGGCAGCCAGCCCAGCGGGCCGCGCGAGCCCGAAAAATACATTTCAACTCAACGAACCCGATTGGGTGGGAGGCGGGGCCCGGTTCGGCTCGGATAGTGGTTACGGATGTCAAGCCGCGCGAGGCCACACAACGGTTAAAGCTGTTAGAAAACAAAACGGGGCGGGAACACATCTCGCCCCGAATGTGAATGTGAACGTGAATGTCGTTGGCCTTACTCATCTCCCCGGAAGACTCGCGATCGCTGTCGAGCGTCTATAAGCCGCCGGTGAAAGGTCTTCCCTGGTGCAGGCTGATTCCGAACAATGTCGCTATCCCTCTCTCTCTCTCTCGCCTATGTGGGACGCCCCGAGAGTGCGAGAGAGACAGAGGAATGAGGCGGCTGGCCGTGCTTGAGGCCGCCGCTTGTCGGCTGCGTGGATTGGGTTACCATTTTCGCCTTGTGCGGCGCTTGGCGCTTGGCGCTTGGCGCTCGCCGCTTGCCGATGGGCGCCTGCTGCTTGAGGCTGGAGCGCCACGCCGCCCCCGCCTTCCGAGTAACGGTCTTCTGACACTTTACAGTCCACCCACAAGGTCGCATTAGACCGCTTGCTCGACTTGCCCCGTCCCGCCGCCTTCCCGGTGGGGCGGGGTGAGGTATAGGTGGGTAGGGGCGGGGAGGGGTGGGCAGGGAATGCGGCAGTCTCTCCCTGGCAGCGTCACACATCCCTTGGGAAATTTGCAAACTTGTTGCGTTTGACTAACTTGGTTTTTGATTTGTCTGTTTCAGGAATCTTTGCCTACCTCAATTACCTGACACCGAAAACGCGGAAGGAGATCATCGACCTGCTCATCAATGGACTCCACCGTCTCGAGTACCGAGGCTACGATTCGGCAGGTACGTTATGGCACGGCTCTCGTGCAGTTTGTTTTTATGCTTCTTCGCTGCTTCGTGTTTTGTACCAAGGGCTCCAATTTCCTGAACAGGCATCGCCATCGACGCACCCGACAGCAAGGACATTGCTATTGTCCGCAAATCCGGCAAAGTTGCTGCCCTGGAGGAGGAGATTCTGAATCGTAAGTTTGTGGACACTATTTTTATGTATTCTATTCGGAAGATCTTGTGTGGCTTATGCAACTGTATTTTTGACTTTGTTTATATTCAGATGAAAAGACTATGGTGTTCGATGAGTTGACAGACCTCCATGTTGGCATTGCACACACTAGGTGGGCCACCCACGGTCAGCCCAGCGAGCTCAACTCTCACCCCCAGAGATCCGATCATGAACAGAGCTTTGTGGTTGTTCACAATGGTAAGTTTTCCTTCGAGATAATGAACTGATTTCAACATTTATTTTTCTTCCCCTATTACAATTTGAGATGTTAACTTTCAGGAATCATCACAAACTTTAAGGATGTTAAGATGTTCCTGGAGAAAAAGGGATATGTGTTTGAGTCAGAAACCGATACGGAGGCCATTGTGAAACTGGTTCATCACTTGTATTCTCAGCACCCAGATTACTCATTCCGTGAGCTTGTTGAACAAGCCATCCAGCAACTGGTAAGCTCAAGCGCTAAGAAAGGAGAGCAAAATGTGTAGTAATGTATGGAAACATGTTCATGACCAGTCTGTTTAACTTTTCAGGAAGGTGCTTTTGCACTATGCTTTAAAAGTAAGCACTTCCCAGGGGAATGTGTCTCTGCCAGACGAGGCAGCCCCCTTCTTGTTGGAATCAAGACTAAGACAAGATTGGCGACTGATCATATTCCTATTCTTTATGGAAAAGGTGAGTGCAACATTTGGTTTATACTTCTGTTGAGAACTCCTATTCAAATTTGTCTCCACTTTGTGTTGCCATAGCAACAGACAATCAAGAACATTGTTACACAGTTTGGGTCAGTATTGGTCGTATTGGTACAGTAGAAAAAAATATGTGGTTGTATTTTAGCCTGGGCTATTTCATTGAAGAGCTTTTATTTTTGTTTTATCAGCCCCTTGTGCTGGCTCTTCATTTTGCATTCTATTCTGTTATTGTCTATTTTTTCTTCCTTTCACCGTTACATGAAAAAAGTAAAAAGACAGAGGCCAATCATGTATGTGTACAAGATTTCACTAATGAAACAGGTTTGAACCAATGAAAAAATCCCTTCGGTTTGAGAAACTTGAAGACGTCAAGTATGGCTCCTTTCTCTGCCTTCAAACTTTCATAAAGAAAGATTCAGAATTATTCCTTTTTTTTTCCACGGTGCTTATGGATGATTTGTTTTATTGCAGTTATGTGGATCTTTTTGCTGCTTAGTATCTTTAGGCTGTGTGTTCTATTATTTTCCTTTTTACCCTTAATTTGTTTCTATCCTATCAAAAATCTGAATGTATTTTAAAATCCTCTGCTCTATTTTTCTTAAATTATTTTTCATCTTTATATTTATTTTTGACCTTTTTCTCATTTTTAATATTTGTTTGATCTAATTTGGTTTAATTTTGTTCCTTTCCCTTTTCCCCTTTCCCGATCCCATTCCTGTTCCCCCCCATTAGAGGCTGACACCAAAAAACAAGGTACACAACATTATATTTGTGTTATCTTCTTATGGTCTGTTTGCTTCATGCTTGAATGACCTATTTCTATAAATTGTTTGTTACAATCTGTTCAGCTCTCTTGCATTCTGGTGAAGGTGAAACTGGAGTGGTTTTGTTGTTGAGGGAAAGCTACTTTGTCTCTTTCACGGTGATGGTTGTGTGTGGTTCCCATTGTATGTCTCTTCTGTTTGCTGTCTCGTCAAAACAATGTTGCAGTCAGGTGTTGGTATTAACTGACATAAATTGACATGTAAACTGTCTTTATTTTTTAATTTTATCTCTTTTTTTGTATTGTTTTTTAAATTCAATGTGAAGTGGTTTTATACGGTGTTAGTGAGATCAATGGGTGATGAATGGAGCATGTCAGGTGTTAGCTCCTCACTGTTCTCAATATAATCACTAATAGTTGTAAATATTTGATTTATTTTTACTTGCATCACCAATTTTAGCAACTTTCTAATTGAATAAACCTTGGTTGACTTTTAGATCATCGTCCCCATGGGCGTGGTGACATGCCCTCTCTCATGCCACGTTCTGATTCTACTGCTGAGTTCCAGCCCATGGAGGACAAGGAAGTGGAATACTTCTTTGCCTCTGATGCTAGTGCAGTGATTGAGCACACCAACAGAGTTATCTTTCTGGAGGTAATTTTCTCAGGGGCTTTAAAAAATTTGACACTCTAGGACAATTGTAATGTATTTTGTTCATCTATTTTTTGTAGGACGATGATGTTGCTGCAGTGAAAGATGGAGCTCTCAGTATTCATCGATTGAGGCGATCTTTGGATGACCCTCATGGAAGGGAAATTATTACACTCAAGATGGAAATCCAGCAAATCATGAAAGGTATTGAAATTGTAAATCAATGTAACTTTAGTTCATTGTTGTTAAGAAAGATATGTAACATTTTTGCTACTCATTTTTAGGAAACTACTCATACTTCATGCAAAAGGAAATCTTTGAACAGTCAGAATCAGTTATCAACACAATGAGAGGGCGAGTAAATTTTGAAAACAACAGTATCACTCTTGGTGGTATCAAGGTAAAAAATATATTTTGGCTATGATTAGTGTTCCAAATTTCCATAAAAGTTGTAAAAGGGTTAATATTTTATTGCTTAAATTTAACTTTTTCAAGGACTACATTCCCGAAATTCGTCGTTGCCGACGTCTGATGCTCATTGGATGTGGAACCAGCTACCATTCCGCTTTGGCCACACGTCAGCTGCTGGAAGAGCTCACAGAGTTGCCGGTTATGGTTGAGCTTGCCTCTGACTTCCTTGATCGGAGCACTCCCATATTCCGTGACGATGTGTGCTTCTTCATATCCCAGTCTGGTATGCATATTACCTTGTCTCTCTTTTAATACCTGTGTTTTAATTTAAATTGTCAGTTTAAAAAAAAAATCCATTTGTTTAGGAGAGACGGCTGACACTCTCATGGCTCTTCGGTACTGTAAACAAAGAGGAGCTCTCATTATCGGTGTTACCAACACTGTTGGCAGTTCCATTTGTCGTGAGTCTCACTGTGGTGTCCACATTAATGCTGGTCCGGAAATTGGTGTGGCCTCCACCAAAGCCTACACTTCTCAGTTCATCTCACTTGTTATGTTTGCTCTGGTTATGAGTGAGGACCGTATCTCCCATCAAAACAGAAGGACTCAGGTCAGTATCTAAACTTAGCACATCTTCTCTAAACCTGTTCTAATGTCAATTTTAATAAAATTTGTGGATTTTTAAATTAAAAATAAAACAAAAAACCACAGATTATTCAAGGTCTGAAAAATTTAGACAACCAGATTAAAGAAGTTCTTGAGCTAGATGGACGGATTCTGGAAATTGCCAAAGATCTGTATGAACACAAGTCTCTTCTTATCATGGGTCGAGGCTACAACTACTCAACTTGCCTGGAAGGTGCTTTGGTAAGAACAGAGGCATAATTTGCTTGAGTCTACCACACATACCTATTATTGGTTTTAAGATTATGTAATAACTGTGTATTTCTTCTTACTGCAGAAAGTTAAGGAACTTACCTACATGCACAGTGAAGGTATTATGGCTGGTGAGCTGAAGCATGGACCGCTTGCTCTTGTGGACAGAGCCATGCCTGTCATGATGATTGTTACGAGAGACCCTACATACACTGTAAGACATTCAAACTTAACACTCAATTATTTTTGAACTTAAGTTGGAATTTGTTAGGTTGAACAAATAATTACAAAAGAGAATGTTTCTTCAACTTTCAGAAATGTATGAATGCTCTGCAACAAGTCACAGCACGTGATGGACGACCTATTATTGTCTGTGAAAAGGGAGATACTGAGACAGCAAGCTATGCTTACAAAACCATTGAAGTTCCTCCTACAGTGGATTGCCTTCAGGTATTTTAGAAATTCAATATAGTAATAATTAGAGCAGATGTACCAGTAGTATGTATAAACAAAACACAGCTTTGATATTGACAATGTTTCTTGTGTTTCAGGGTATTTTAACTGTGATTCCGATGCAACTTCTGTCGTACCACATAGCTGTTCTTAAAGGATGCAATGTCGACTGCCCCCGGAATCTTGCAAAGTCTGTCACTGTTGAATGAAGGATGAGCAGACATCACTGGAGTCTTGAGAATATTTTTCTTATGATTTGTTGTATGAAACTCCTTTTCCCTTACTTTGGATGGATTAGATTTTCATGTGTTGTCTTTTACCTATATTTGAAAGCAAAGGCAACTAATTTTACTGTGATCTTAAGTTGCACTTCTACAGTGTACAACTGTCAGTTTAATACTAGTAGAGGACACTTCATGTTATGTAGTGATTTTTAAGACTTGTGTGTATGTGTATGTCTATCCACACTTGTTTTTTCTCGTCTGAATGGATTTTTAGCGTTGGAATAGTAGACTGCTCTGATGATTTTGTAAATCAACCTCATAAAGATTATGTGCGCATTTATTTACTTTTATAAAGAAAATAATCCACATCATGGATTGGTAGTTCCAAATGTGCATTTACATAGATGTCTTTGCTTGTGTAAAAAGTACACTGCCATAAATTAAATATTTAAAAAGAAGCTTTTAATTGACGTGAGGCTTAAAGACATTATTTTATAATCGATCTCCCAAACTTACAACTATGCATCAAAATTTTAAAATTTTCCTCTCTACTCAATGAACTATCTTATTATTTTTTGTTATCGTAACACTTTCAACATTTATAAATTCTGTTGTGTGGTGTAGGGACTTTATGGTGGTTTCTGCATATGGCACCAAATATTGTTAGTACAAGTATGTTAATATTTTTACCAGATAGGCATTGGGGGTCCTCATTTTGTCACCAACACATTCCTGTTTGTATGCTTTCTTCAATTTTTAATTCCTTAAAGCAAAAACTCATTTTTTTCACAAAAAAAAATTGTTGAATTATTTTAGATGTCTGTGATCAAGTGACTTTATTTTCTTTACGATGGGGACCTTGTATTAGCCAAGGTATCTGTTTAATCATAGCACCATACAGTATACTTTGTTACCATAATTATATGAAATAAAAATATCTTAAGACTTAACCTTGTGTTTGTTTCTTTTATCATAATACTTCTCCTATCGGCCTGTTTGAATGTCACTCTCTTCATTCAAAATGAGAAAAATTAATGGACACAACAAGTTACGCTCAAAAATGCCTTGGCAGTAGCAATTCTTCAGAAACTTTATCTTTTGGAGGGAATGAATGAGAAGAATCAAATGGTAGTTTATTGTAAATTCAGAGAAATATCGACTCTATCCTATCGAGGACTCCGCACTTAAAGTCAAGGCTGGACTGTTTATCTTGAAGTAAGCAGACAAAAAAAGCAATCAAATAGCAGACGACATGGAATATTTGCACACAACAGCTTAGCCAACCTTAATTTTCAAAAGTTGAAATACAGTGGCTTAGAGGTTGGATTTTCCAGGAGTAATGTGATTTTCGACTCATGAAAAGCACTAAAAGACATTATTAACGTAAGGACACGATGGGAAACATCACTTACTCTCTTTTTACGAATGAAACAATTGTTTTCAATCTATCACGACACTGTGCTTCTTCTGTTGGTACTGTCTGTCGTCTGCTCTTGAGCACTACGTTGTCAAGTCACATCCGAAAAACTTGTGTTTGATTTGCAAACGTACAGGTGGACTGTCTGAACCTTTAGTGTCAAGCCGTTTATTTTTTAACGTTAATACGCAGTGATCTGTTGGCCATCTGAAAAGTGTGTGCGGTTTGCAGAAGTGAGGCATGTGAGCATGCTTTGTATCGATCGACCGTGCCCGTCCCCGTCGTGTCCGTCGTCGAGCTCCTCAGCGTAGTTGTTGGGCTTTCAGTAGTGAAGGAACTCACAGTGATTCGGCATGGCTGCTCCCGCAGCTTGTACCCGTTTCAGTGATAACTATGACCTCAAGGAGGAGCTTGGAAAGTAAGTAGACGACCAACTACCGTTTGTCCAAATTTGGGGAGGATTCGTTGTCTCCGTGGGCCGGAATTTAATGTGCGCTAGTTGGCCGCAGGAGCAGGCAGGTCCTCCATTCCATTCCCTGTGCCCCATGCTCGTACCTGATCCCAACCCCAGCACCGGGCCCCCTGATACCCAAGTATACACGGTGTGCCCAAGTTGGTTAGGTTGAACAGAGGTGCTGTTATGTGTGTCCCACTGTGAAGATGATTTGTTGGGAGCCAAGATCCTTGGGCTGACATGATGTGTTATCTTTCTCTTGGTCATTTCTTTACCCAGTCATAAAATACAATAGGTTTAAATGTAATCTGACTTTGTGTTGCACATTTAAAAATTAATTGTCATTGTCATGTTCAGCTGACTTCCCTCAAATAACGCAACTATTCATCATAACCCTATTTCGTAACCACATTTTAGATTGCCTTTGTCAATTCATGGACACTTGAATTCAATCGACAGAATACTAACTATTTCTTTGACCATTCTTTTTGTCCTCGCAAATAAGCTACAGAAATTTTTTTTCTGTGAATGATGAAATGATGGTGTTCACCACCAGGTACTCATCTCAACGTTCATTTAACATGGTGATTTGGGAAAAAAAACTGCAACGTTAATTAATCAATATCATATCAATGTTTCTGATCTTGTTTACAATTTTAAGCATTCAGTTATTTGACAGGGATGACATTTTATGGTATGTGACCAAAAAAAAAGGCTAGGGGTAATGATGGTTGGACATTAAGATAAGAAACTGGGCAGAGGTGGTAGCAATGTGAAAGATGCATGGAAGCGAAGGTTACCGGCAATAATGACCTATTGCCGGACATCCTCATGGTATCTGGGAGGAGGTGGGGTGGGTTGTCGAGTGTCTTTGACTGGTAGTACTTTTAAGCCATGTGTGGTCTGATCTGGTGCGCTATAAAGGATGAGTACACTCTTCTATAGTAACGCTCAAATTTGTTTCCAGGCCTTCTCATTATTTTTTCAATATTTTTCTAAGCAAACTGTTTTGAAGTAAGAGTTTGAATTTTCTGTTTTTGTTGAACTGCCAAACAAAGATCTTTCTCTGACATGGATGTCGCTTGCAATGATGTTGTAGAAGTTTAAGACTCCTACAGTAACTATGCCTGGCTCAGTTTGAATCAAAGTCCTGATGGTACATGTATTGACCTACTTTCTAAGTCAGTGACAATGTAACTCAAGACATCCAATGTGATTTCTGACTACGGAGTATCTCATCAAATCACCCATCTCTTCCAAGTAAAATGTCCTGCATGTGAGAGCGGAACTACCACTTTGATCATGAAACACCGTGCGGTCAGCTTGCCACGCCAGCGATGAAGTTGATAGTTAACTCTGAGGGTGCCGGTGTCGGGTCTCTCACAGGACCCCTCTTTTTCACTTGTTTTCTGTTTGAAAAGTTATTATTAGTACAGACTGGGCGTTGACCTGCTTGCTGTTGAGGCCGTTTCGGGTGGAGGGGGCGGGGGAGGGGGCCGTGCGTTTGAATCCGCCGAGGATAATAAAGTGCGACTAGGGAGACGGAATGGGACAGACGAGGAGGGGGGGGGATGAGCGTGACCGGGAGGACGACGACGTGACGACGTTCGGGGTGGACTGGGCGGACGGTCGGCCGGGACGGTTGGCCGGGACGGCGCCGGCAGTGGAAAGTAGGGAAATTAGTGGTGTTTTATTCATGACCGCATCTGCACTGCACCCTCCTTCCCCTCGCCGGCCTCGGCATTGGGCCTCGGCATTGGGCCTCGCCTCCCCGCTCGCAGCCTCTATCCTTGGACCCCTCTCTCTTTCCTCGGTCCTTCCCCCGCCCCGCCACGGCGATGGGATGTGGAGCTAGCCCGCTCCGCTACATCCACCTGTAAGTTGGCTCCATTGTTCTCGCCGCTATTTGCTTTCTTTCGCCGACCCCCTCCCCTCCCCTCCCTTTGGCGGGCCCCCGCGGTGGCCCCCTCGTGCGGCGGCGTGCCCCAACGCTCTGCCCCACGCTAGGCTCGGCGAGCCAGGCGAGGGCACCGCCACCCACACCACCCCTCGGGCCACGACAAGGGTGGCGGGCAGGCAGGCAGCCCCCTGCTTCGAAGCTGCTCGAAGCGCCTCCCGCAACTTTGGCGCAAACGCCGCGTCGCTCTGCTAGGCGCTGCGCTCTGCCCGTCCCCGCTCTGCGTACTCCGCGTGCCTGGCGTGCTCGCCGCTCTGCGGTCGGGTCGGGTCGGGGGGCGTAGCCGGGCGTAGCCACCGCCAGCAGCGCGCGGGGTGGCGCAAAGTGCGGCGGCGCGGCACTTCGAGTGCGACCTGGAGCACGTCGCACGTCGGCGAGCTCACTCTGTCCGGACGGCGGCGTGCTCGATCGGCCGTCGCGCCTCCGAATGGAACGACAGGCGGCCCGGCCCGGCCAGGACGGCGGCGACGGCATGCGGAGTCTGGCTGTGGGTTGAGCCCCGCCCGCTCCGCCCGCTCCGCCCGCCGAGCCCCGCCCCTGGCCTTATTGCCTCGATGCGTAATGTATAGGCCTGGCTCCCCGCACCGCCCCTCCCGCAGGACGCGGCGGTCCAGCCCACCCCCTTACCTTCCACTCCACCTGCCGGGCTGCCACAGGCTGCCAGCCCACAGCACCCCTGTCTCCGGCACCTTTCCTGTGCGGCGAGTCGGGCGATTCCGCCGCCCGCACTTGTCTCTCTCGCACTCTTGCAGTGTGCCGTGGGGGTGTGAGGGAGAGAGAGAGCCTTGCCTGCCCTGCCCGAGCATTGGCACCCCCTTAGCAACCCTCTAGCCTCGCCTCGCCTCGCCCCGCCGCGGGCCGCGAGCCACCCGGACGGATTCTCCCCCAAACCGCGCGCATTCCGCCGCTCCGCCATTCCGCCCCTCCAAATTACCACCCCTCGCCGCCCCCTACCCCTTCTTGCCGCCCCCTCGCCGCCATTTACAACCCCTTCCGTTTTGCGCGCCTTTCCTGCCTTTGCGGCGTGGCGCGGCGTGGCGCCGTGGCCTCGACCTGTCGCTGGGGCAACCCTTTGCCGTCGCCAAGTTTTCGTTTGGGGCGCCCCGCCCCGCCCCGCCCCGCCCCGCCCCGCCCCGCCCCGCCCCGCCCCGCGTCATGCCTGGCTCGTTCGTTGGCCTCGAAGCGCCCGGAGCGCCGCCGCGGGCCTTGGGAGTGCGGGGCCTTGGGGCCACGCTGTCCGGGACACCCCTACCGGCCTGTCCGTCCGCGTCGACCCCCAAGGCGCCGATATGCAAACCCGCAACCCGTCATGCTGACGCGGCACGCCGCCTGCGGCGCAGTGCGGCGCGTCTCGGGGGGCAGTCTCCCCCATACATGCAGCAGGCTGCATTCCGGCGGGCATTCCCTGCGTCGCTCTGTCTCGCTCGCACCCGTGGGGCTGTGTGTGAGAAAGGCGGCGAAGCACTGTCTGAAATTAGTTTAGTTTCGGCGGTGCCGCCTATTCCGGTGTCCTGGCGCAACCGTGTTCACCGTGTACCGGGCGTGCCCACATGGAGTGCACGGTCCTGGCCGGCCACCAAGCGGATTGCTGCATGGCCACTCGGCAAATTGAGTTGAGCCCGTGCCGCGCGCGAACAGAGGGAAGAGGGAGAGAGGGAAGCGAGAGAGAGAGAGAGAGGAGGGGGGTTAATCCGGCCCACATTGGCCGGCGGCCGGCACGGGCCGATGAGGGTGACGAGGGCTAATAGAGCTTCTCTTCTCCGCCGCCCGGTCTTCTTCCTGGCCCTGCCTTGGTGTGCGTGCCGTGGCGTGCCTTGGCGCCCACACTGGCGGTGGCCGGCCGGTACGTATGGAGTTAGACGCAGCCTGGCGCTAAACTCGCCGCCCCGCCCCACAGGGCCCCACAGGGGGCTGAATGGAGTGGAGGGCGTCCATCTGGCCACGGCGTCGGCCTGGCTGCCCGTCTGGGCATGTAGACCGATTCCGAGCGGGAATCTCTCTCTCTCTCTCTCTCTCTCTCTCCGCAATACGGGACGCATCGTGCGAGTGAGTGCGAGAGAGACAGCGACCGAGCTGCCCGGGGCTCTTAAGGGCCTTCCTTGTCTTGCGCGCTGCAGCCATGGCTCGCTCGCTGGCTCGCCCTGCGCTATGTGGCCACGCCGCCACGCAACCCACCCCAACGCTATCCTCATTCTCGCTCGGCGCGCACGGCTCGGAGGTGAGCCGTGCCGTTCGCAGAGCGCAGAGCGCAGGCGGCGTACCGGTGGCGGCGCTCCCCTGCTCCCCGGCGGGGGCGTGGGGGCGTGGGGGCGGCGGGGGCGGCACGGCCAGGCATTATAAACTTACGAGGCTGTAGGCCCGGTTCGTTTGTCTTGATTTGGCCCCGAGGCGCACCGAGGCGGCAGCAGCGCTCTCTCTCTTTCTCTCGCTCTCGGTCTCCTTTCCTCTGTCTCCATCTCTCTCCCGGCGTCGCGGCGGACTTTGGCCTTTTATATTTCCTCTGCCAGCGAGCCCGGCGTGCTCTCTGCTCTCGCCGTGCATACTTGGGGCCTGGCGGCGCCGGCCGCACTGCAGACTGATTCCGAGAGTCGTTTTCCTCGCTCTGTCTCTCTCGCACTCATGGGGCCTCCCTTGTTGGTGCGAGAGAGAGAGACGGCTCTGCTAAGCTTGACGAGATGCCCCGCCGTGCCGCCGGCGCTGCGAAATGGCGAATGGCGCAATGCAGCGCGGAGAAGAACGGGCGGCCGCACCGCATCATCGCCACGGCCAGGTGCTTCCCTCCCTCTCTCTCCTTTCCTCTCATTGCTTTTGTTTTTTCTCTCTTTTTCCTTTCCCTCCCTGTTCCGGCGGCCGGGCGGACGTCGGAATAAATGGTCCGGGGCTCCAGGAGAAGGGCGGGAGTCCTAATGATTTGACCTGTCCGAGCCGGTCCGGCCCGATGGGGGAAGAAAACACGGCGGGGCGGGGCGGGGCGGGGCGGTCGCGATAGCGTAATCGGCTCGGCGCA